GTTAGGAATTTGGCTTAAAGATTTTTGAAAGTCTTCCCCACAGACGGCGCCAAATTGTTTCGGTTGAAAACAATGGGACCTTGCCGAAGGTCCGCTGAAGTGGAGAAGACTGGATTCGGTCCAAGTTGTGTTGGGCCGAAGGTTTCCTGCACAGTGAACACACGTAAACTAGCCTCGGGGGTGTTTCCGAGGAAGGCCCCTCCGATGCTAAAGTCAGTACAATGTGTAAAAGGAAGACACTATGCAAGAGAGTTTGTAGCTTGAGGCTTTTGTGGAATATTCCTGAATGCAAGAATGAGCATATGAAATGGAATATCAATGTATATGTGATGTCCCCTTGAATGTGTTAATATGATGGCTTTTATACCTTGTCATACTTGGAGAGGTTGGGCTTTAGCCCAATTGGATTACTTTGTGGGCTGACTTTTGACTTTTGAGCAATTGGAGAGTTGAACCTTGACCTTGGGCTTTTAATTGGATCATTTAGTGCTCCGGCCCAATTTTGACTAAATTGGACCCAAACAATTTCTTTTTAAAATTTTCAACAACAGTATAAGTGTCGTAATTTTGCCTAACATGTAGCTAGATTATCATTTGCAGAAAGGAAAGAGCCCCCCAAAACTTTGGACCCAAAAATTTATTACATTGTTAATCATTTGAAAAATATCCATGAAAAGGTTTCCAATGAACTTCCGATTGACAATTATCCACGTCTTTTTAATTTAACCATTTATAAGTGGTATCAAACACGACATGACAACTATTATTGTTGATTAAATGTTGTGATTGATTAAGTAGTTACGAATGAAAAGTCTAATTGGATGGAAAGGATGAACATACAAGAAATTTAAGATTAAAGTTGACGAAAATTCTTAATATACTGTTAGTGCCGTGTTTCTCACAATGACTTTTCATTATCCTTTCTATTTGGCCACGTTATATGTTCTTGAAAACTTAATTACACTACAATAATGAATTGACACAATTGATAGTATAGTAGCTCTCAATTTTAAGGATAACTGAACGTATGTTGTACCATACTAGATTATTAACGTACACGTAATGTGATCGACTTTTCTCTCAAACTGTTTGTTGGCTTCACAGTCTAGCATGTTTATATCATTACATTAGTATGTACGAATTTAAGGTGTGAAAAGAATAACTTAAATATAAGTTGGAGAAAAGGAGGGAATTGAAGCTAGATAATTAATTAACCTTTATTTCCGATAAACAACTTTATTCACTTATTAATTATCCATGTATGAGGTGACCTAATTAGACTTTCCACTAACATGCATGGGGTTTTTGGATACCCTTTAATCCATTTGGTCTAAATTTGAGAAAGTTTAGTAAATTATGTCAATTTAAGTCTTTAGTGATGCATTGTATAGCTATATTTCCTCTTTATTGATTACTAATTCCGGTATACATTTTTAAACTAATAATAAATTTTTAATCAACATGCTATCTTGTAGAATATGGAAAAATGAATAGGACAACTATATTGTTATTTTCTTAGATAGCGATCTTATAACTCTTCATTAAAGTAAGCTGGCATAGAAATTGAGGGACCGTATCATATTTGTCGTGCTAGTTGTTGGGGCTTGTGACGAAAAAGTGAAGCACAGTCAATTTGGTTGAAAGATCTTTAAGAAAAGGACGAGACATTGGTGGATGCAACTCTTGCATGGAAATCCAATAATAAAACTAACGATAATCCGTTAACCACGTCTTATTAATTTTATTATGTTTGCATTCACCAGCCTTATGATCATCCGTTTACCACGTCCTAACATCCGAACTTTAGGATTTGTTTTGAATAATCTAATTTTTACTAATCCATTTGTTATGCATGTATGTTAATGAGAATAATGACGATTAGAGATTTAGAGATGTCAATTCCAATTTTCGGATTGAGTTTACCGAGGTTAGGTTGGGTGACTTGGGTCAGGTCGAGTCTAAATGTCTAATTTTAAACTTGATTTATGCTAAATTATTGCGTCCATACTAAACGAAACCTAAATTGGATATTTTTCGAATCGGGTCAATCGGGTTAGGTTTTAACACCTTTAATTACGATGATATATATATATATATATATATATATATATATATATATATATATATATATATATATATATATATATATATATATATATATATATATATATATATAATGCCATAGGCGTAGAATACTATTTTGTGTATTAACTACTAACACCTACCTAAGGACTCTTGTTGTCTTAGCTTAGATACACACGTACTATCTACAAGTATATACAATGATAGGAACTCTTTGGACCAAAGAGTTTATTTTATACAATTTAATATGATCTTTTTTTATGAAAGAAATAATAAATACTTGTATCAAATGTTGATATTTGAGTATTGTCTTTTGTAAGAAATTACGTTAAATAAATAATTTCAATACAAACAAATTAATTTACACAATATCCGTGCTGATATTAATGGAAACAATTAATCAGAAATATCAAAAAATTAAAACGCTTTTATATACAAAAATGGTATGCAACACTTTCATAATCAATCCTAGTCCAAGACTTAGCTTAAGGCTTAACGTGGGGGGTTAACCTATTATTAGATTAATTATTATCTTTTGAAATTTTGTGTGGAATGATTGATTTACAAATTAGGTTACCTTAGGAGAAAAGTATCGCGTTCGTAATGACGTGCAACATGATCTAGCTTACTAGCTATAAGGGTGGGTGCACGCAGAAGTTATGAGTTCGAATCTTTCTACAATATATATGAATTGAAGTAACTCATTGTGTAAGTTCTAGATTAAGAAATAAGGTGTGACAATTCTAGCGTTTCCCAACTTTTCTTTTCCGGCCGTTTTTAAATATTTGCTCCTTCCTTATTTGAAATCTTTTATAATATTTAATTCATTTTTCTTACCTATTAGATCCAACATAAATCATATTTTATGAATTTCATATTTTCTCTCTTCCAATTCTCTAACTACTTTTGCTTTTTATAATTTTTTATTCATCCCATTTGTTGAAGAATAAACCTCTCAAGTGTCACCACATGTAAGTGTCCCACATTGGTTGGAGAAGAGAGAATTAAACACTTTATAAGGCTAAGGGGCTACTCCTCCTATTGCCATATGGTTTTGGGATGGAAACTCCTTGGACTTAGGGTTGTACACAGTTTGGTCTGGACCGTAACCAAATCGTATTTTAGCGGTTTGGTTTGGTTTACGGTTTATAAAATTACGGTTTGGTCTCGATTTTTTTTGTAAATATGGTTTATGGTTTGGTTTGGTTTTGCAAAAATTATAAACCAAACCAAACCGTAAACCAATAAACCGTATTTTAATATTTATATAATTTTTCAATAAATTTTTTTTTATATTATATAAAAAAATTAAAGAATAAATAAAAAAAACCATGAAAAATAGATAAAAACTATACCGTCAATACTCTATAATTAATGACTATAATGTAGTACTCATATGAATATCTTTTATAGTTATGTATTATTTTTATTATGTGTTAGCACTTGATATTTTTATTGTAACTTTGTAGTACAATTTAATCCGTTTGGGCTACTTATTTAAACATTATTATAAATTAGTGAAGTATTATTTGACAATTTTTGGAAAAAAAAAATATCATTTCATCATAAACCGCAAACCAAACAGTAATATGGCTTAATTGGTTTGGTTTGGTTTCAATACTAATATGGCTTGGTTTGGTTTGAAAAATTTACCAAACCGTATTTTGCGGTTTGGTTTGGTTTGGACTCAAACCGCACCAAACCAAACCATGTTCACCCCTATTTGGACTTGTGAAGTGGACTCTCTCTCTCTTGGTTTGCAGGTGCGGCTCAGACCCGTGTTTAATACCTTTACCCAGTACCTCTATATTTTATTACTTTATCCAATTGCTCTTAAAACTACTTAGAAGCAGTAACCTAAAGGAGTTTATATTCTTAAGTCTGTCTTAGAAGTGTTTTGATAGGTTGGTGTCTTAATCTTAGAGTAGGTAAATAGAGTTTTAGTTTGATTAAATTTCTTAATTGTCTTGATCTGCTTGCATCTTCCAGCACTTTTCTTAACATAACTGTTATTTACGTATTATGTCTTGTCGCCTTGTTGAGCAATGTATACTGGACCTCGATCATTCTAGCTACTTGACTACATCTATATTATTTTATAGTTATGGGCAAAGTACTTACAAGAATTCTTTTGTCACGAATCACGTAGCGCTTATGCGCCCTATTGTCATATACGAGTACAAATAATAATAAGTATATAATTTTATCAAAAAAACAAATAATACGTATAATAATTTTTAATTACATTATCTTACAAATTAAGGTCAAGGCGATGCAATAGTTGCATCACTCTCAATCTAGTATTTTTGAAGTCTAAGAATTAAATTTTATGAGATTTCTTAGAGGATTTAAATCTACAAATAATAACTACATTCTATTACGAAAAAATTTATTTCTTTAAATTATCAAATAACAAGATTACTTTAATATTAAATTTTTAACCACAAATATATTTGTGTAGTTTCTGTAGATCGTTGGATTTGTTTGGTTGGCCTAACTTAATTATGTGCTACACTGCTACATAAAAACTTGTACTAGTACTAGATTTTGTGTGTCAGTTTGATATTATACATGAAATTTATTAGCCAAATGATAGGACGGAGTACTAATTAGCGTAAAATGACCACAAAATTTGTTTAACTCTTCATCCATATACAAATATATAAAAAGTTACTGATTTGTAATCATTTACAAAAATTTTAAATAATTAAGTTTTTTTAGCTGTATATTATGTAGACAGAATTTATTCTCATTAGACACACTTTGAGGGTGGTCTAAAGGTCCCTTAGTCCCTTACCCTTCCCCTCACTCTCAAAGTTTCTGACTCACAAATATCGGACCAAAAAAACCGTGATTGTTGAGACACAATCCGACAATCGGGGTCTTTCTCACCTTATAAAAAAAAAATTAATAAATGAAATACGTGGTACTAGTATACAATACGTAACTTATTGATTCCTCCATTGCTATAATACTCGCGAAAACACAATTGTTTCAAAATCATAAAAACCCTACAAAAAAATTCTTCTTTAACTCCAAATAACTTAACAAACAATGAAAATGGGTGGGGAAAATAACAATATAATCAATGAAACCTTCTTCATAACCCATGGAAACCCGATTTTGACCGTAGAAGACACACATCCCTTAAGGCCATTCTTTGAAACTTGGACTAAAAAAATATTTTCGAAGAAGCCGAAGGCGATACTTGTGATCTCCGGTCACTGGGAAACTGATCATCCTGCTGTTAATGCTGTTCATCTTAATGATACTATCTACGATTTTGATGACTATCCTCAAGCAATGTACAAGGTAGTGTTTTCCTATTTTCTAGCCGTGCCTTATTTTATACAAAGTATTATTATTATATTTTTAATAATGTAACAATAATTTTGTATTCCTAATTGTATCCTTTGTTTATTTTTCAATGTGATACAATACAATAAATATGAAATAATGTCACACGTCAAGTTAGCTAGGTGTGACATTTTAATTATTGTCTAAACGAGTTAAACCTTTAGCATTATTGTTATAGAATTATATAATACCAAATATTATACACATGATAAATTGATAATTAATGTGAATCAATTGGTTTGGTTAATTATGAATCAGTTGAAGTATCCAGCACCAGGGTCACCAGACTTGGCTAGCAGAATAGAAGAAATTCTGAAAAAGTCCGGGTTCGACACGGTGCACATTGACAAAAAACGTGGGCTTGATCATGGTGCATGGGTGCCTCTTATGTACATGTATCCGGAGGCTGACATTCCGGTGTGTCAGCTCTCCGTGCAGCCGAAAATGGACGGAACGTACCACTACAACTTGGGACGGGCGTTGGCTCCGCTGAAAGACGAAGGTGTACTCATTATTGGTTCCGGAAGTGCAACACACCCATTGGACGAAACCCCTCATTATCATGGTGGTGTTGCTCCTTGGGCTGCTGACTTTGACTCATGGCTTGACCTAGCTCTCACTAAAGGAAGGTAATTAAGACATTTTTAGCCTTCTAATGTAAAGTACAAAATTTAGGGATGACAATGGGTCAGATGTTATCCACGATCAATTAAGGATGGATCTGGATCCACTTTCTAAATGTGGCTTCGAATTCTAATATGTTGATCCAAGAATCCTAAATTTGTAGATATAAAATCAATCATATGAAAGCTTGTTCTCTTATTTAAAAAAATAGGAAAAACTGTCATAAATAATACAATCTTTGCATGGTTGAATTTAAATAAGACAATCATCATTTTCATTATTTCTTAATTTTATTACAATCTTTAGGGGTCTCAAAATTAAGCGCTAGCAAATCAAAAAAACTTGTAACCGATTACAGACTACACGTGACACGTGCTATCGTATAATTGATCTAAACAATTAAAATTTGATTTTCTTTTTTCTAAATATTGATTAAAAAATAGTTTTTAAAAAATCCCTAGCCTCCCCTTCCCACTTCGAAGTCAACCAACTCCTCCCACGCCAGCGCCGGTTGCCAGCCTACCTCCCCCTGCCCGATCCTACCTGCTCGTCCACCACAACCATCGACCAACCCGGATCTTGCTTTCCCCCCCCCCCACCATTGACAACCAAAGCCGCTATCCCCGAGGCCACACAACGACGACCCCGACCTATTTTGGGGGGGTTTCGATAATGGTGGATGGTGGGGTAGGGTTTTGGGCTCGTGGAGGGGTTAGGGGATTGAAGCTTGTGACGGTTGGGCCGGGGTTGGTAAGCATGGGAGGGGACGGTTTTTAGGGTGGGGTAGATGTGGGGTTGTTGAAGGATGGGGTGGGTAGGTGGAGGTGGTGCATTTTTCAGATGGTTGGAGATGGGAAACAGGGTTGCCGGAGGTGGAAAAATGGCAGTGTTAGAGGAGAGGAGAGAGAAAAGAAAAAATTGTTAGCCAATCATAGAACAAATGTGGCATATTTAACCTCTTAAACAGGTAGTAATCGTTTCGGCCGGTTTAAAATTGAGACCCCAAAGATTGTAATTTTAAGAAATAATCAAAAGGTTGTCATATTTAAATTTGAAATGCTAAAAAATTGTATTATTTATAACATTTTTTCCTATAAAAATTTATTTTGTGACATTTGTAAAAAAAAAAAAATCAAAAAATGCTTTAAGTTCATTTATATGGCTAAAACAGTTATCATAATAAATTTATACACTATTCATTGGTTAACTTTGGTAAATTTTTATCCTAAAATACCTACAAAAATAAATTAAAATGATTCATTGATCTCAAGACGTAATCCAAATCCATATTCTATTCTTCAATTCGAAAAAATTGAAGTAGTCGACCTTGATCTAGGAATGGTAACGGGCGAGCAGGTGGGATCCAATTCCAAACTTGAATTTGTATATGTGGATTTGAATTTCCAAACCCAATTTTCGTACGTAGATCTATAGGTTCGGATCCGAATCCAAATATAATTGTTTTCACTTTTATAAATTACTATAATTTTTTTTTAAGTATTTCTAATAATAAATAAATCCAATTGAAATTATTTTAAGTTCATTTTATTTTAATTTGAAGTATTATAATGCCATCGATCCTTTTTTCAAAGTAACAAAAGCTTAAGTTTTATACGGAGTATCACAAAAAAAAAAAATATTAAGGGCATGTTTGACATCGTTTTTTGTTTTCAATTTTTTGTTTTTTTAAAATAAAAAACCAAAAACAGGAAACAAAAAAAACGAAAAACAGGAAACTAGAAAAATGTGTTTATTTCCACTTTTCTGTTGTCAGTTTTCATCATTATTATTATTTTAATAACTTTGACTATTGTTTAATTCATTATACTACGTATGATATATGATATGATTTTTGAAAAACAAAAAACCAAAAAACAGAAAATACAATAAAAGTACTTTTAAAGAAAGAAATTTATGTACTCTGTAGCTAATAAAGTCATATTGTACAGTACATAGTGGTTTTCTACTATTTCTCCAATTTAAAATAACTCACATGTAACAGTAAAACAATTTAAACAGATTTTTCTCGTTTATTTGATGGTGGTAGCTTGGTAGGTAGAAAATTTTCATTTAAAAGTTGTACCACGATGTGATAGCCCTAGCTTTTTGGTAGGGCAAGTATTAGTAAGATACTCATTTGACAAATACGGAGTATATATATAACTACGTATGATTTTTTTTGGGTGGTATTCAGGTTTGAAGAAGTGAATACATATGAAACCAAAGCACCAAACTGGGAATTGGCACATCCATTCCCGGAGCATTTTTATCCATTGCACGTCGTCGTTGGGGCGGCTGGTGAAAAGTGGAAGGCTGAGCTTATTCATACTAGTTGGGACCATGGTACCTTATGTCATGCCTCCTACAAGTTTACTTCCACCTAAATTATTTCGTCTCGTAATTTAACATACACACGTATTATTGTTGTGATTGTCGTATTGGGTCATGCTTTTAGTTCATGTGTGTCTTATTATTATTTTCATTATTATCTTTGATGATTGCTTTGGTTAAATTATAAAGTTCATCAAATAAAAAGTATGTAAAACCAGTGAATAAGTGCTGGAAATCATTGTTATCATACTGTGTTATCTTAAGTTTGCATATGAATACAAATTTGCTCTATAAAATTAAAATTCTGTTGTAACAAGTCTGATAAATATGCACGTCCTAGTGTCACACTCAATATTTAATTCAAAATATTTAAGCTTTTAGATTGAACGAAGGGTACTAATTACTCTCTTTAATCCCACATTCTTTTAATCTTTTTTGTTAATTTGTAGAGTACATTTGTGAATATAGTTTTTAATAACCAAGATTTTCTGCTATCTTGTTAAAAATAGTAATTAGAAAAAGGTATTAATCTCAACTTTATAGTTATGAATTTCAATTAAGGGCATATTCTCATTTATTAAACTGAGCTGAACTGAACTATTTACGAAATAAAAAAGTTAGGAACTGAAATGAAATAAAGCTGAAAGAAACATGCCCTAAATCATTATTCATTATCGCAATAATTCCTTTGGTTAAGAGGAAAAATTAATGAGAAATTCGATGAGGGTGTCATGTCATATACATTTAGTTAAATTCTTAACCGAAACAATCATACACTTTTATGTGGAGTGTGACACAAACTACAATAGTACAAACCAGGCAATTTGATATGAAGTACTCTGTACTCGCATATTGACGATATTGTTGATTAGTTGCCGACATGCTGGTCCTGGATGGTATTATTATTGCTGGTCCTCGATACAATCATGCAAATTGAATGCACTCCCCTTTCTTTCTTTCGTAAGCAATTGGCCATCAAAACACGACTAAATATTAAATAGACGTTTTAAACTTCCCTTTAGGAAATAATATATATACAAACACCACAACGTATAACTTTAATGATACTAGCTAGCTTAATTATATGGAGCCCAAGCAAACATTTATACTCATAACATTTATGCATTTTAAAATTAGTATCAGTCTCTATCACTATAGAAAATGGTTTGGTACAAAAAGAGTCATTAATCTATACTATACAAATAATAGCTAGTATTACTGTAATAGTATAGAAAGAGTCATTAATCTAATTTATCCATTTTAAAATTAGTATCAGTCTCTATCACTATAGATAATTAGATAGTCTCTTACTATAATAGTATACCATTAACATTTTTTTTTTTGGGTGCAAACGAGGGGCTAGACCCCGGAAGAATATACCATTAACATTTAACAGGGCCTAATATCCATACAAAACAATTTCGTCGATAGTTGCATATACCGATATATATATAAAAGACGTGTGATGGGATGATAGTATATATGATACTTGTAAGAGACTATCTATCCACTTCGTATATATTTTCCTTCTTAATCACAAATTAATTTTGCGAGTGTGAATTGGGTATAAGATTAATTATAAATTTAAGAATCCCAAGTATTTTTTTGTGTTTTATACATTTATTAAGATTAGAACAAATAATACAATCTTTGCATGGTTGAATATAAAGGTGTTAAAACCTAACCCGATTGACCCGATTCAAAAAATATCCAATTTAGGTTTCGTTTAGTATGGACACAATAATTTAGCATAAATTAAGTTTAAAATTAGACATTTAGACTCGACCTGACCCAAGTCACGCAACCTAACCTCGGCAAACTCAATCCGAATATTGGAATTGACATCTCTAAATCTCTAATCGTCATTATTCTCATTAACATACATGCATAACAAATGGATTAGTAAAAATTAGATTATTCAAAACAAATCCTAAAGTTCGGATGTTAGGACGTGGTAAACGGATGATCATAAGGCTGGTGAATGCAAACATAATAAAATTAATAAGACGTGGTTAGCGGATTATCGTTAGTTTTATTATTGGATTTCCATGCAAGAGTTGCATCCACCAATGTCTCGTCCTTTTCTTAAAGATCTTTCAACCAAATTGACTGTGCTTCACTTTTTCGTCACAAGGCCACCAAAAATAACAAGGCCACCGGATTGAACCGGTGCTACAAAAAAAAAAACCGGGATTGTTCATTTATAAACCCTAACATCCTTATCTCTCCTCTTAGATTCTCTCTCCTCTCTTTCTCCTCCAAGGCTCCAACTGAGCGCCTCTCCTCCTTCTCCTCTCTTTCTCCTCTCAGCTTTCCGACCTCTGTTCTCTGTCTCTCTCCCCTCTCTGTCCTCTTCTTCTGACCTGAAAACTACATCTAAGCCCGGCTTCGCCCCTCTCGCAGTAGGTGCTTCTTGCTCGCCTCGCTCTTGTGACATGCATGCTGTTTCCCGGTTAACCGCCTCGTCTCGCCTCGCCTCACCTCGGATCTCTTTCTAGAACCACCTCCTTAGAGTGAGTTATAGGCGACGAACTCAATGTTTCTGGGTTTAATAATTCGGGGTAAGGGTTTCTGGGTTTAATTATTTATGCTATGTGCCTTAATTTTTTTGGGTTTGATTGTTGTAATATTGTTCGAAATTGATTGGTGTAATTGATCTTGGAATTATTTGGGTTAATTGATTTTGTCATTTTTTGCACTTAATTGATTTTTCGAAATTTCTGGGTTTAATTGATTTTCGAAAGTTTTGGGGTTAATTGATTTTCTGGGTTTGCTGGGTTTAATCGATTGTTGGGTTTGCTTCTGGGTTTAATTGATTTTCTGGGTTTAATCGATTTTGGGGTTAATTGATTTTCTGGGGTTAATCGATTTTCTAAATTCTGGGATTAATAATTCAGAAAACCCAGCAAAATTCTGGGGTCAACTAATTTTGCTGGGTTTAATCAATTGCTGGGTTTGATTTTGGATTAATTGATTTTCTCGTTCATGCATTAGTTTTCTGGGTTTGCTTCTCGTTTTTTTTTTTTTTTTAGTTTTAATAATTTCTGGGTTTTAATTTATGCAGGTGTTAATTCATGCAACAAGGATTCAAGATTTCGATTTTGGAATATTATTTTGATGTTGTAAATTTTTTTTTTTTATTGTTTTACAATTTCAATTTCTGAGTTAAATTTCATTATAATTCATTGTAATTTTTTTTTTATTGTATGGTACAATAACAATTTACTTGTTGAATATAATGTGATTTACCATTGGTTTGATGTTGAATATAACAATTTCAAGAATCCTTATTTCACCATTTATTTTTGTTTGGTTCGTATTTCATGTTTGTTTGTATATTATTTTTATTATTATTGCAAGCAAAAAGTAAAAAAAGAAAAAAAAAAACAAAAACAAAAAAATATCAAAAAGGCACCGGTTAACCGGTGCCTAAAACAACTACCACTAACAAAAAATATTCCGCGAAATTATTTAAGGCACCGGTTAACCGGTGCCAAAACCGGTTTATGGCACCGATTTTAAACCGGTGCCAAAAAGGGGTGTAATTGGCACCCCCCACATAGGCAGCGGTTCAAACCGGTGCCTTAAGCCGGGTTTGAACCGCTGCTAGATCCCTTTTTTCACCTAGTGTGGTAGGGTTTTAGATAAAAATAGTTGTGCTAAGAGCCTAAGATTTAATCAAAAATATCATGGAGCATTAATTGAGTTAAGATTTGCTACATAATATGCCAAATGAGGTCAAATGACTTGATGGAGCTTTTTTTTATTGTATTGGACCAATACTGTTGAAGATTAATTCTTCTCAGTAACATTGAGTCAAGTCACAATCATGTTGTGGTGTCGAGACTCGAGAGATTGAAGTCTCCATCTCAACCATTTCCTTTGAAAAAAAATGAAGAAGGAGCTGAGAAGTTTAATTATTACGGAGTACTAGCTCGTTATACTATGAACAGTAAAAATAAAAACAACTGAAATCACTAAAAAAAAATCTAACAATTGATGACAAACTTGTACGAACAAGTTATACGTAAACATAGATTACAAAAAAATAGCATATGAGCTAACGTACATAAACTTGATCTCTAGTACCACCTTAAAATTGCATTGAATGGAAGATCAAACAAACATGAACAATTGGAGAAAACTTAAACAATTACAAAATGAATGAATTTACTAACGAAAACATATAACGGTATAAATATGCAGGCATTTGATAATGATCAATACCTAAGAACGGGAATAATCTGAAGAGGTTTAGTCTTTTGTAAGGCAATCCCAAATTTCTCATCCATGTCTAGATCTTCTGCTTTCATACCTTCTTCAAGCTTCCAATTGAAGAATTGAAGAAGCGTAGCTAACATCAAAGTTAACATTCTAATAGCCAAATTCATCCCGGGGCATATTCTCCTTCCAGCTCCAAAAGGTAAGAGTCCAAAATCTCTTCCTTTCACATCAATTTCGGATCCTAAAAACCTCTCAGGTAAAAACACGTCAGGTTTCACCCACGCTTGAGGGTCTCTTCCAATGGCCCATAAATTAACAAGTATTTGTGCATCTTTCGGCACAACATAGCCATATAATTCAACATCACTATCAGCTTTACGAGGCAAGAGAAATACAGTTGGTGGGTGTAGCCGCAATGTTTCTTTGATAATGGCTTGTAAGTAAGGTAGCTTAATAATGTCTGATTCTTGAATTTGTCTATCCTTGCCCAAGACTTGCTCAATTTCTTCTTGAGCTTTTTCCATCATCTTAGGATTTCGAATTAACTCTGCCATTACCCATTCAAAAGTACTTGATGTAGTGTCAGTCCCAGCATCAAAAATATCCTGTTGATGTTGTAGTTAGTTTATGCAACTATATCAATATTATATACTCACATAATTATAATCGAGTATTGATCACATATATTACTTGGAATAAGTACCAAATTAATTACAAGTTCATTTTAATAGAGTTGCTTGTTAAATTGTGAAGCATCTATTCTACAAATAGTCAGTCAAATAAGCAACAAAAACCAAGATGCAGCCAACCATCAACAGCCCATTGTCAAACAAGGTCATTCGACATAAAATTATCTGTTTTATCCATGATTCTCTATCAAGGTTCTTTCAACCTTATGCCAAAGCATTGACACATAAATTAATACTCCCACCGTTTTTAAATACTTGCTTCATTTTTCCTTGTACGGAGTTTTAGGAGAAATTGGAGAAAATAATAATATATGGAGGTAGTGGAATAAGTGGAAGAATAAAAAATTATAAAAAGCAAAAGTAGTGGAAGGATTGGAGGAGAGAAAATATATGGCGGGTCCACTAGGTGAAAGAAATTAGTAAAATATTGTAAAACTTTCTAAATAAAGAAATGGAGCAAGTATTTAAAAACGGCCGAAAAATAAAAAATGGAGCAAGTATTTAAAAACGAAGGGAGTAGTCTGAGTTAAATGACATTGGTAGTAACATTAAGATTGGTGAAGAATTTATGATTATCATGATATGCCAATAATAGGAGTGTAGATTACGTAGGGACCAGATTTTCAAATTTGTCGCTTAGATTTACTACATTGTAGACTAGTGACAATTCAATTTATGTTTGTAGAGATGGAGACATAATCACATAATTGTTGTAATGCTACGTAAAAGCTAAAATTTCCACCTCACCACCTTCGTTTGTTAGTTACCAACTTACCAAAGAACACCTACAATTAACTATATCTTGATTTAGGCTGTATTTTCCCCTATTATGGGCTATATACTGCAAATGATTGTCAAAGTCCTTGGCAGTACTAGTTAATAAGTCGGATTCTGTCTACATCACAACTCATTTTAATCATCTAAATTCCGTGAAAATATGAGTATAGTTATTCAATAATGATTTACATAATAATATTAATTGTTTATACATTAGTTGCATCAAAAAAAAAAAAATTGTTTATACATTAGTGAAAAAATTGGTTAAATTTTAGACTATTTTAAAATCTTGTAAGTCCTTGTTTTCTTTTATTTATCCAACATTTTATCCAACATTTGAATATATATATATATGCCGTCAAAAAAAAATTATATATATAAAAAAATAATAATAATAAAAAAAAAAAGTCCTCGTCATGTAGCCCTACATAACTCGTGCAATTTCTCCATGAAAATTTTAATACGCACAAGCTACACTAGTATATAATTAATGTTCATTAAAAATTTGCTATTATAATTGTACGTTTTATAGGTTTACTTCTTGTAATTAATATATTGGCAACAACTTCAAACAATGACTTACCACGAGCAGATGATTTATCTCGCCCATACTGAGCTCTTTTTGTTTGTGGAGGTCAAGAAGAATGTCTAGCACATCATCGGTCGTCTTCGTCGAAGCAGAATCCTGGCCGTTGCCAATCCTTTGACATATTATGCTTTGAAAAACTGCAATCAACTTGTCAAAATTAGACGCCAATCGACGTCGAATTCCTGATGGGTCTAAGCATCCTAAGATTGGAAAATAATCAGCGTAGTTAGGTTTGCCAATATCTTCCATAATATTCCATATAAGTTCTTTGAATTGTTGAGATGTATGGGATTTATGGTGGGCTAATTCGACCGAAAAGAATAATTTTGATAACAAATTAAGGGAGGTTGTAAATGCTGCCTTGCCAATATCAACAGCTTGTCCTTTTTGTGCACATTCTTGTACATATTGGAAAAGCTGTTGCACTTTGGCATGTCTTAGGGTTTGGCAAGCATCAAGTCTTTGAGGAGAAAGTAAATGAACGGCGGTGATTTTTCTAAAGTTCCGCCACTTTGGAGAAACAGGCAACCACGACATAGTCAGCTTATGGTGATCCCCAGCAGTGACAGAATTAGGAACAGTGCGGTTAGAAAGTGGGTGGTCTTTTTTTAAGAACATTTCTTTGGCTACTTCAGCCGAGGATACAACAATAGTTGTGACACTTCCTAGACGTAATGATATCAATGGACCATGAATCTTAGCAAGATTAGCAAATGACTGGTGAGGTTTCTCACCAACTTCAAGGATGTTTCCGATTAGTGGCAATGGTTTAGGACCGGGGGGAAGAAGTTTGGTAGTTTGGCTAGTGAATAACATTTTAATGAAATGAAAAACAACAAACCAAATAGCAAGTATCATTGCTAGTGTTGCATGATCCATGATGAAAAATATAACAAAGCTTATAAAAATATTACGGTATGAATGAGTTTGTGTGTTTTTGTACGTAAAATGGATAGTAATTTATACTGCATGTGTGAGTAAATTTAATAAAAACGGTATTAAATACTGTACAAAGACAGTACTGTTTCATTATAACATGTGAAAGATTCCAAAAAAAATCTTGTGGAAAAAAGTGTGATAATATTGGGCCCGAGAAATATGGGGCCCAAATTTGGGCCAAGGAAATTTATTACCCAATCAACTTGGAGAAAACTTAACAAAGAGATAAAATGATAATTTAAAAATTTTGAAGTTGAAAAAATCTAATGAGCTTGGACATGCCACGTAATTAAATATGGTTGTTGGAAGTTGGCACAAACCCCAATTAGGTATTAACTACGAAATTCAGATGAATTGACAAGTTAATGACCCAAAGAGGAAAGAACTAGATAGAAGATCATTGCCAGTCTGCCACTATCTCAATCTAGCTTTTTGGTTTTGTTAGATTGTTTTGCCCATCATAGTATTTAGAGGTTTGTGTTTGTTTACGTGCCCAAATTGGAATAAAATAAACCAAAGAAGTGTTGCAAGTAAAAGAGGAAAAAAAAAAACGAATACGTATAATATTATATAAACTAATAAATTTATACTTGTATATAAGATAATATAAGAGCTAATAAGTTTACATAAAATAAGATGTGGGCAGTTTAACTAAGACAAATAAGGATCAATAAGTTTTTATAAGATCTAATGACACCCTTATACAAGGCCAATCAACAAGGGTTAATTAGTCTAAATAAATAAGATGATATAAGATTAGGCTAATAAATATGCTCAAATAAGTTAAGATCTAATAAGTTTAATTAGATAAAATAAGTTCATGACTAATAAGATACGATAAGTAAAATTTAAGTGTACAAAACACTACCTACCTAAGTCTTAATGATGCAAAAATTAGTGAAGTTTCTCTAATAGATAATATTAAGCCCAATTATTCTGAGCTGCATTTTTTGCTATCCTGAAATTTGCTCTATTGACACATGTTCTTCCTACTAAGCCATATTATGTTTAGTAAATATATTAAGTAATAATAATTAATTAATGATTAATTACTAATCTTAAATTATTAGCTGTCAGCGTGTTTTTAGCGCAGCAAGCCACACCGTATGATCACTTGTAAAAAAAACAGAGTAACCCTCATAACACTTATTAAGTAACTCATATAACATAGACAGAGTAAGATCGAGTCTGTTCTCATTCACTGAACTGAGCTGATTTGAACTGATTAGAGCTGAATTGAACTGAATTGATTGGAGCTAAACTGAATTGAAATTATGCTAAAGTGAACAGGCCCTCCCTTATTATACTTTAATAAATAACAAAGTAATCTCTACAACAATGATAGGATACCTCTTATATTAGTATGTTACAAATAAACTAAGTAACCCCTACACTACTAACAAGTAACCCCAAAGTGGCTTGCCACAATATAAAATTAGCTAGTGACTAATAATTATTAATTACTTCCTCTGTTCCTTAATTAGATGTCTACTTCTTTTTATTATATGAGTAATAAATTTTAGAAATAGGCATCTAATAAAGGGACGGAGGGATGTAGTACTAATTAACAAGCCCTTCTCTTTTTTTCGTTGAAACTTGTTCCGCCTACGGAGCCGCTTTTCTTTTTCTCGACTTCTCGGCTCAACTTAAGAGCTCAAAAGAATAGAGTCTTAGTGTACTTTCTTCAATCAATATAAATTCAATGTAAAGATATTTTTGGTTTAAATCGAAATATATCAAAAACACAATATTATTTTTTGGTGAGTTGAAAATCTCTCAAATTGATGTAGTTTAGTTTAAGATCAACATATAATTTCAAATAGAAGAATACGGGTAACGAAAAAAATGTGATACTCGTAAATCACGCACTTCAAAAGGAGCATTATTATAACACAAATGTTTATATGTGCCTCATTAGGGGTTACTTGGTCATTATTACAAAGACAGTCGTCTGTGTTATAGGGATTAGGTATTGTACTTTGTCATTGTTACGAAGGCACTCGTCTGTGCTATAGGGATTAGATATTACTCAGGGCTTGTTCTCTTACGTTGAAATTCAGTTCAGTTCAGCTTAGTTCAGTTCAGTTCAGCTCAGCTCAGTTCAGTTCAGCTCAGCTCAGTTCATTTCAATTCAGTTCAATTCAGTTCAGTTTAGCTCAGCTCCTAATTTCCTTCTCTTATAAAATATTCAATTCAGTTCAGTTTATCAGTTCAGTTCAGTTCAGCTGAGTTCAGTCAATGAGAACAAACCCTCAATAGTATTACAAAGATTAAATTGGACAATGTTATAAGGGTTATTTTATCCTGACACGTAAAAAAGGCAAACAATTAAATACTACTCCCTCCATCCCTAAATTACATTCCTCCTTTCTATTTTTGGTATTTCAAAATTACATTCCTCCTTTCTATTTTTGGTAAGTTTTTTTTTAAGTAAATCAACTCTTTTTCTGTTTTATATTTAATGCTTTCTCACTCATCCTTACCTAATCTCACTCATAATCCTTGTGCCAAATTACAATAAATATGATTGGTTAAAAATTTTCAATTAGGAGCATGTGATTGGTCCCTTTTTTTTTTGTAAAGGATTGATGACATGTCATGAGTAATAACTAATCTATCTTTGTACTTCCCATTGCATTATCTAATTATTGTTATTTGTCTTATTCTTTCCTCCTTAAATCCCGTGTAAATTTCCAAAGAGAAATGTAATTTAGGGACGGAGGGAGTACTATGAAATACTACACCGAAAAACATATTTTCCAACTTTAAAATCTAGTTGCTTCCCTGGATTGCTGAACCAATGTAAACTAGTTGCTTGTAACTGAAGATATGAATATTAATGAGATACCATTATATATAGGAATCAAGAGATCATATTGAGGATTTCTTGGCCACACCAATACATTAGAGAATAGTTAATGTGGTAGTTGATAGTTCATAATCGCAATAACCACAAATGGTCAAGTTCGCATCATAAAAAAGACTAAAGAGCCGACTTGTTTATACGAAATGGTTAGGGAGCTGGGCCTTGATGAATGATGGGTGGACTACTCTACAGTTTTTTTTTTTTGCTGTCCTTGTATTAATAACAATAATATTGCATGTTTTGCAAGTGGATTTTTTTGTTGGCTTTTTGTTAAGGGCTTAAAAAAAGTATTTTTATATTTTAATATTGTCATGATTTTAATAAGTTTGATAATCTTAAATTCATCATATGACATACGTACTACGTATATCATATACTTCCCCCGTTTAAAATATTTGCAACACTGTCTGGTGACACGCAATTTGAGGTCGAGGTTATATAATGTAAACGACTAATAAATTAATCAAAATAATTTTTACACACATGCAATGATGGCTAAACCCTTCTCTAATACTAGTGTTAAAATTATTTTGAAAAAAAAGTAAGCTAATTTATTTTCACTAATCACCTCTTAAAACTATGTGCCTAAAAGCTTTATTGCAAGTAAAAGAAGACGGAGGACATATGATTTTGGAAAAAAAAAAAAAAAAAACAGTGATGCCAAAGGAACTCAATTTTTTTATTTTGGTTTTTTTTACTAGTTGAAATAGTCAGAAATAGGTCAGGTTAATAGAATGAATATTAACCAGTTTCCTAGAATTGTCTTGTAACAACAAGTATTTAGTATTTAAAATAATCCCTTTCAATTGCTCATTGGTCTTTAGAGGGTATGAATTCAATTGTAAGATAAGCTTATGATTTAAGTTCAAATAACATCGATCAATTTTTGGTTACTAAGCTCAAATAATATATTTTCAAGTACATTAACTAGAAGTTAAGTAAAATATGTTCTAAACACCAAAAAAAAAAAAAAAAGAAGTAAAATATGTTTAAAATTCATAAGCTCAACTAAGATAAATTCAAGTACAAGTATTAGATTAATCCAGATAAGTTGGCCTAGATAAGTTAAGGACTAGCTAATATGTTGATGCTATAAGTTTAGGCCAGGTAAAAATAAGTTAAAATCAAGACAATATAAGATAAAATAATAATAGGCTAGGAGTATAAAAGGTGTATGCTTGAAACTCACCCGAATTTTATTTAACAAATCTTAGCCTTATATAAATATAAATTAATCAAGACAGTAAGGGCATGTTTCACATTTACTGAACTGAATAGAACTGATTAGAGCCGAACTAAACTGAGTAGAGCTGAAATGAAAATTTTATGAGAGAAGGAAATTAGGAGCTGCACTGAAATGATTATATTGGAGTTGAATTGAACTGAACTAAATTAAAATTAAGGTGAAATGAACAGGTCCTAAGACTGAAATTCAAATAAATTAGTGAAATTTAGGTGAAGAAAATGCTATCTTAAACAATAAAAACCATTTTCATAATAATTTAATTACAGCCACACAAAAATTATTCAATTTTAAACAAAATCATCTTTTATCATAAAAAACATTCTCTGCTAAGAAATATTGAATTAAAACTATTCTTGGTATCAAATTTTTTTGAATAAAATCTATAGTATCACCTAGATATATACTAAATATGATATTATTAACGACCCCAACTATAATTTCTGCCTGAAATTGATTTGTTTGACAAGGTTCCCGGAATTTTTATGACATTCCTACCAAAACTATTCTTGGTATCAAATTTTTATGAACGGAATTTTTTTTTATTTTTTTTATTTTTAATTTTTTTTTTATTATTATTTTTGTTTTGCCATTCTTCTTGTCATCTTACTAATAATTGTTTCACTTTAAACCGCCCTCATTTACCACATTTAATGGGTTGTACGTGTAAATAGGAAAATTATGGTTGATTCACGGGAAAACAATGTAAGAAACTATTTACTCCTTTTGCTTAGCCGGAGTATTTTTTTTTTTTTTTTTTGTTTTGAAATTGCTTAACCGAAGTACTTAATGCGTAGTATGTAGTAATAATAATTATTTTAGGTGTACAAATGTACAACATTCAATATTTTGTAAAACTTTATTATCAATGTTTCAAACCTATTTAATTAGACTTATTTTTCACAAATTTATCTGATTTAAACTCATTAACTCTTTTTTGAATTTATCTATCTAGAAATATTTGAAGATATACCTAAATACCTAATACAGTCTTAATTGTCAAAAATTTCCATTTAATTAAAATGAAAGCCATAGTAGGTTTTAAAACCTTAATTTAATTGAGAAATATATAAACTATCAAATTATTATTATTATTATTATTATTATTATTATTATTATTATTATTATTATTATTATTATTATCATCTTTTGTTGTCGTTAGATCTTATTATTATTGTTGTTTTTTGTTATTGTTATTATTACTTGTATTATTGTCATTATTTTTGTTGTTATTGTAATAATGAGTACATGGAATAAAAGTAAATACTTTGCCAATGATTCGACAAAGTTATTCATATCCGACTTGAAACTCTATCTATCATTGATTAATTAACTTGATTTGACTAGATTCGAGTACCAATGTGATTAATGGTTGCATAATGTACATATTAGATATAATCATTGTAAGCGAATTGGTAATAAAACCAAATGACATAAAATTAAATCCGAACAATTCTTCACTCGGACATGACATGAGTCTAATCCGATTAATGGACCAACTTAACCAAAAGATCGAAAGCCCGTTTGGGCTAGAAGTGTGGATGCAGCATAAGCCCTCCTCATACCCAGCGCTTAATATTCCACTTGAAAGTGGGGGTGGCTGAGATTCGAAGCCGTGACCTTTATATCACGCTGACTCTGATACCATGTTAATGGACCAACTCAAGGCCCAGAAATATATTTTATACTCTATCAAATCCAAACAACCCAATTGTCATCAACATTATTGATAAAATGGTATGGAACATTAAGGAGGGGAAATCAATTGTGCTAAAGATCTTTTTCATGCCATATTTAGCAACATTCAATGCCATGACCCCGATAGGCCCCCCATTGATTCCGCCACTGGACTTCGTGGTGAAAAGCTGGTAGACACCATTGTTATAATACCCTCCTTCGCAACCTAAACAGTTCACCTGCAAATTCACAAGAAATCAGCAGAAGAAGAAAAAAAAAACCCTAGTGAATATTATTTCTTAATTAACTTCTACTTAGAAAAAATCATGAAAATGGTTGTTGAAGAGGGAAAAAATAACGAAATGAAATTCAATGAAACCTTCTTCATAACCCATGGAAACCCAATTTTGACAGTAGAAGACACACATCCCTTAAGGCCATTCTTTGAAACTTGGACTGAAAAAATATTTTCGAAGAAGCCGAAGGCGATACTTGTGATCTCCGGTCACTGGGAAACTGATCATCCTGCTGTTAATGCTGTTCATATCAATGATACTATCTACGATTTTGATGACTATCCTGAAGCCATGTACAAGGTAATAATTTTTTATTTTTTTTTTACAAAAAAAATTACAATATTTACTCTTTTATTATTTATTTTTGTGTTTATTGTAGTGGCCTAGTGGGTACATACATACTGTCAGGCTCAAGATAACAATATATGGTAGGGAAAACTTAGCTTGAATAATTAGCAAATATTCGGAAATTTGAAGATGTGCCATAAAAAAAATAAAAATAAAATTAAAAAAATCATTAGGTTTTTCCATGCATTTTAAGTAATCTTAATATGAAGATGATATTTACTTATATAAATTATCATATTACACAAGGTACTTTCTTTCTTTCTGATGGTATATATATCATTATTATTTCCATGCTTTTCTTTATTAATTTTGCCCTCTTCGGTTTCAAGTTGTAGGGTTGCTATAAAAGGAATATGATCGATTTATTTACCTTATCAAAAGTGGAATAATTAAGCTAAATCAAATACTTCATTTTTTTTAATCTCCTGTGATTTTACCATACATTTCTTAATAATAAAAATAATATGATAGATTATTAATTAACTTAGAGCTGCATCCATCACTATATAGTTAAAAAACATGTTTGCTAATGTTAAATTTTGGGTAAGCCTTGCTTATTATTACTTTTGCATCATTTTGATTTTTTTTTTTTTTTTGGCATTATTCTCAGACCTTAATTTTGAATTAATAAGTCTTTTATGGACACGTATCAAAAAACGTAAATGTTAAAAAAAAAAAATACTACTCCTTATTAGATTTATCTCAATAATTTTAAATAGATTTTTTTAATTTAATTAATTAATATTTAATTATATTAATGGTTCAGCTTGTGCGTTGACAAACATAAAAATCACATAATTTACACTGATGTGTAATGTTGCATCTAAATTGACCTTATTTGTTGGTCTAATCATTAGGCATGCACTTATTTAATCATTGGCAGTTAATGAATCCTTAATTTGTGGTTGGAATAATAACATAATTTTTCATTTGGTAAAATCCAGTTTAAGTATCCGGCTCCCGGGTCTCTAGAATTGGCAAAAGGGGTGCAACAACTACTCAACAAATCCAAGTTCGAAACCGTGCACATTGACCAAAAACGTGGGCTTGATCATGGTGTATGGGTGCCTCTTATGTACATGTATCCGGAGGCCGACATCCCGGTATGTCAGCTCTCCGTTCAGCCGAAAATGGACGGAACATACCACTACAACTTGGGACGTGCGTTAGCGCCTCTAAGAGACGAAGGTATACTCATCATTGGTTCCGGAAGTGCAACACACCCCTTAGACGAAACGCCTCATTATCATGGTGGTGTTGCTCCTTGGGCTGCCGAGTTTGATTCTTGGCTCGACACTGCTCTCACTAATGGAAGGTAAATAACTTCAACCTTTTTTTAACCCCGTTAAATATATTTACTTTATAGTAAAATTTGTATACGACGGTTGTATTGTATATGAATAATAATTAACAGTATATTCCCCAATAAAGAAGTACGACAAACCTAAGTAATGATAACATGTTAGATACATCGTTATCATGTCTTTTGTTTATTTGCTCAACCATAGCAACATGTCACGTAGTGTCATAATATTGGTTGTGGCAAGGGAGATATCATTATCTGTATACTGTACTTATTTTTTGTACAATTTTGGTGTCTAAAAGAAGCCCATCACCTATGTCGGCTATTCTTCCCCAATGATTTGTTGTGTTGGTAGGACATTGAAATATTGAATTGGGAACCCTTTGACATGATATTTGAGCTACTATGACCATGTTTAATAAATGGTGGTGATTGAAATTACAATAATCAATTTATTATTATTGTCAAAAACAAATTAAAGTGATTTATCATTTTTGGATTTTACTTACCTTACATAGTCAATCTGTAAAAGAAAATAATTGGTAATTGGACTTTTCAAAAAAATTTAAAAGTTGCTCTTGGTGACGTGTCTTGTTAATAAATAATAATAATAATAATAATAATAATAATAATAATTTATTGTAGGTTGTATGATTTTTGTTTCTGAGATATAATAATAATAATAATAATAATAATAATAATAATAATAATAATAATAATAATATCCAACGTATGTTTTTGAGAGCCTTTGTAAAATTGTCCACAAGTTGAGATGAATTCAAAACATGAGAGGAGATATCAAGCCTTCATTAATTGCATCATGAACAAAGTGACAATCAACCTCAATGTGCTTTATTCGTTCATGAAAACTGGATTCTTTACTATGTATAGAGCTGACTCACTGTCACAAAATAACTTAATAATAATAATAATAATAATAACAATAATAATAATAATAATAATACAACCTGTTAGGTTAGTCAAATCATTTTTTTTTGTTTAAATTTAAAACTTTAATGAGATAATTATTGTAATAAATGTGAGAAAAGAATAAATGCAATCGATAATTAGAAATGACAAGCACAAATAGATTGATGTAGACCTTATTTTTTGTTGTTTATGCTGATTGTGAAACAATGTCTGAATCGATTTTCCCCTTGTTTATGTCTTCTTTTCCCTCATCTTTAGACATAATCAATGAAAAAATGGAAAAAAAATTCAAAAAAAGTTGACCCCCAATAATAGGAATTTGTTGATATGTAGCAACTAGCAAGTACATTTATTGATAGGGCTTTTTACTTTTTTGGTTGGAGCAAAATGAATGATAGGGTATTAGATTTTGGGTATGATATAAATGGTTGTACTCGTATATACTTATTCCTCCATTTTAAAATGATTATGTTAGATATTATTAGATTTATCTCAATGCATGTCTTGTTTTTAATATCAATTATTTTTTCGATCAAGATATTAGGGCTGAGTAATACTCCGTATATAAATATTGATGGTAATAACTAATAAGTCTTGGCTTAAAGATCGTGTATGTTAATTAGGAAAATCTTTATTGGGACCAATAATGGAGATTTATTTATTAGATGAATAAAAATTACAAATTTCGGAATTTATAACTAAAACAAGTTTAGATCTATGTAACTATTGCTCTGGTACATACTTGTACTGTTCTTATTTTTTATTTTTAACTTTTTATGCATGCAACCCTCATGGTCGCATTGAGGGTTGTATTATGTAGATTTGGAGCTAAATTAGAAAAAAATAAATGAAATATAACATTCTTTACACCAATTTGCATATAAATTATTATGCATTCATAAATCTTTAACGAACTATACAATTTGTTATCTGGTTTTTAGGATTGAAGAAGTGAATACATATGAAACCAAAGCTCCAAACTGGGAATTAGCACATCCGTTCCCGGAGCATTTTTATCCATTGCACGTCGTCGTTGGGGCGGCTGGTGAAAAGTGGAAGGCTGAGCTTATTCATACTAGTTGGGACCATGGTACCCTATGTCATGGCGCTTACAAGTTCACTTCCAGTTAATTTTCATTTTAATTGTACCAGACTACCAGTTGTACCTTGTGTGCATGTAACACAATATTGATCGTACGTTGCGTTGTCATGGTTGTCATCGTTGCTGTTTCATTTTAGTCCCTTGTATTCTTTCCGCAATATATTGTAGCATTGATTGTTACGTTTCAGAGTGAAATTCTACATGTTCACTTATGTATCATGTATTATTGTATACGTAGTTATATTTTGTAATATTGTGCAATCTCCTCAATTTTGTTGTATTTTAATGGCTTGGTATCGTGGATTTATGGTGTGTATATTGACTCGTCTATTGTTTGAGAGTTGATTCAAGTATTGTCGTTTAATTTGTAAGTGTTGTAATTTTTTTTTTTTTTTTTTTATTTTTTTTAAAGAAAATGGACCTGCATGCCTTTAAATTGCATGTGGAATATACGTACTTTGAGAGGATTTAGTTGGACCAACATATTATCGAAAATCATATTTTGTGGTGTTTGTTTGCTAACTCAAGATTTTCTTGTTATCCATAGATTAATAAGTCTTGATAATTTTTTCTTGGTGTAATTTTCATAATTCATATACGACTATACTAGTACTATTGCAAAACAATACTTACAACTTTTTAAAATTATTATTATTTGTATCTTTCTTACATTTTTTTTTTATTTTTTTAATCATAATTATTATCATTTGTATCTTTCTTACTTCGTGATTTATGTACATAGTTAACTATCAAATTATTTTACCATTTATGCATCTTTATTTTTTGGCCATGACTTGCACTCAAAACCCTAGCTAATACTAAGTATATGTACTCCGTATATATAATGATATAATCCTATGTAGTTATTTCGTATAATATTTGATACAGCTTGTTTTGTGTGCGGCCGGCCACACCGTGTGGCCACTTAAAGTAACTTATATAACATTGATTAAGTAACCCCTATTCAACAAAACAGTAACCCTTATGATACGATCGAGTAACCCCTATAATACTAACCGAGTAATTCTATAACAATGACAAGTAACCCCTATAAGTCTATAACACTGATAAAGTAACCCCCATAACACTAGCGAAGTAACCTCTATAGCCGGCTGGCCACACAGTGTGGCCAGCCACATATAAGACGAGTAAGATACCCATGCATACTCCTATAGTCCTATGTCGTAGTCATTTTCCATATACAAGTGTTAAACTCATTTATAATTAGTCATTTTCCATACATTAAAAATTAAACTCTTTAACTAATTAAGCTCAAAACCTAAGAAATTATATTGGGTACGAGAAGATTATGATTAGATGCTGATGCTGGCCCTGCTGTTGAAATCAAAGTCGCCTTACCAATGCAAGAGGTTGTAGATTTGTTCACGTTTTTCCTGATTGTACCAGCGTCAAGCATTTCAGGAAAAGTCTAATCATTAATTAATGATGGGATGATTAATCATGAGTCTAGTTCCTAGTTTAATTAATTAGTTTAGCATTACATTTAGCCTAAATTTTATCATATGTTAAATTCAATGCTGTTACTAAATTTATGTGTAATATTGTCACAATTCACAAAAGAATGAATAGTAATGTAGACGGAATTTGATATTTTGGGTGCTACAAGACTTAAACCAACTTAACTTAAGAAAATGTTCTGTATTTTTACTTGAACAAAAAAAAAATACATTTTGTTAGAAGTTATGTTGAATATTTTCCTTAATATATACAATACTTTTTATATTCCTTTATTTGGAAATTTGGAAAATGATATCTATGGAAGTAGTGAAGTACATAGTATAAGGCAATAAGCACCTTTAGTTTCAATTACTGTTAAGGGAATAGCTCAAGTGGTTAAAGTTTTCTTCTCGATTCCAGATAATTATAGGATCGATCCTCATCACTCGCCTATCTCAACAGAAGTACTTAAAATCGAAAATTGCTTCGATGGATGGAATTGGACTTAGGAGTGTAGGCCTACTCAAAAAGTAAGTGAATGGACTTGTCCTAAAAACGCTGGACTGAGTCAGAGTTAGAATTGGGCCATGTTAGGATAAATTGGGCCTGAAAGTCCAAATTACTCTCTTCAAAGGTTAAGAACAAAGTAGTGGCCCAATTGATGAAACGAGACAGTAAATGAAGAAAGATGATTTTCACGAGAGAAAAAAAAAAAAAAAAAATCAGTAAACATAGGCACAAAATACGGGTCAAACAAGAATTTGATAGTTTGATTTGCTTAAAATGAAAGCAAGATTGTACTTCTCCACGACTTTTAGCTTATTTAATGCCAATGCTAATATAGTTATCACTCGCTCTAAGTATATATTGAAGACTATCGTGTCATATTTTAATTAGTAAGACATGATTCATTTGGTTAGACTCTTACAAAGTACTGTATTATTTTGTATCTTAAAAATTTGAAATTAGGACGTTTTCAGGCTGGTGTACGAGTTCAAAAATTAATCCATGTAACTAGCTTACTAGGTTTAGGTTTTATTTTAAAAGGTAAAGGCCAAAGGGGTATCTTACATTCAAAGATATGCATTTGAGGAATTCTATGTATTTATTCCATGTTCGTGCTTAGTTCATGTACCCAAATATAGAATTGTGTAATAATAGCAATATGTCTAATCTATTATTACTATCAAGGGAGTAAAATTATTTATGATGTATGTATAATGCTTACATTAAACCTAAACATTAAGCATTGATCAGTAATAAATCAATTATGTGAAGATTGCTTAATAGTACGAATAAATCTGGAGTAGGTGTGTAAGGTTGAGAGTTTAGGTGCACTAAAATGTTATAGTTCTTTCTAGCTAATTACTTGTACATCAATTTAATTCAAGTTGAACACTCTTTCTAATTTGTTAATTTATACAAGAATTATCCCCTATTTGGATAAGCAATATAATTGGTTAAACTCGTATGAATATTTACATATAAGTGATATAACATCTAATACTGTCATACATTTGAATGTATACATATTAGATACACCATCTAACAGGCTGATGCATAAAATGCACGCGGCAAAGGTTGCACCCATGTACTTCCAATACAATACAATGTGTAAAAAAGAAATGACAAAAAGGTACACTAACGTACGCGATTAGGTATACATAATCAGTAATTATATAGGGAGATTAATTAAGCCAGCCACATTTCAAAGTAAGGTGGCGGTATCTACACGGGGATGTTGATATTGATACATACAAATATATAAGGAGTATTAATTTCGTTTTCGGAACTAGATCCCAGATTGTGATGATTTTAATGAAGGTGGGTTCTTGATTTTGACAAGAAACTACTACTACTATTAATATTACACGCCACGTATTCTCTTAACAAAGTTACTAATTATGTAACTTTTTTTTATCACACGTATATTACTCCATTAATTGATTGATTGGGCATTCTCAAGAACAGCACGTAATAATTTTTTTTTTTTTTGACACACAGTACGTAATAATAATGTACCAGTAATAAGGTGTTAAGTTGTTTGTGATATTCCGATTTCCAATATGTTTGGGCTCTATAAACGGATGCTTCAAGTAGTATACTTGCTACTATCTCCAATTAGCACGATTGATTGTGAATTGATGTATGTGTTAAATTAGCTTTGTAATTAATTAAGTTCTAAACACTTAACTTAGGAAACTACACTAAGATTTTCGGTAATTTTTCGTGTTAAAAATTATGAAATTTTCCTAATAAAGTTACGTGTAACTTTTGTTTATGTCACATCAAAATATGCCTTAAATTAATCAATTAGTCGCCAGTCTCCTTTCAAGTAAGGATCAGGGGTATTGAATGTCCGTAAATGAACTAATTCATCATTAGTAAACCACGTAAAATTTGTATTATTCTTGTATGTTGATTTTTTTTTTTCATCTATTATAGTAGTTTAAAAAAAGGAAGTAACTAATCAACAAACTAAAGGTTTGTTTTATTCACTCAAATTCTATGCAATATTTCAACTTACCTATACTTATTGTAACTTGTTAAACAAAATATGGTTCATAATTGAAAGAGCCGTTATAGAAACCCTGGGAGCTAGTGTCTCTCATTAATTGCTATTATAAGCTTTCAAACACATCAAATTGATTATGATGTAATATCAATAATATGATAATTAAGATTAATTATTGTTTGCTCACTAATCCTCGTACATCAATCAAAACAGTCAGTTCACCAACAAACACAATTACAATACAAACAAAATTCATCTTAATAAAGCCAAGCTTCTAATAATATCCCTAACTCATGTATAGTAATTAATTGGACTTATATTATATTAAGTTTGGTCCGCTAATATTATCGTTGTTCACTAATGTACTAACTTCAATTGTTAGTAACTTACCTTTTAAGCACTTGTTTCCCTTTCATTTTCCCCTTCAACACCAACTTTCTCTCTCTTATTTCTCTCTCTAAAACCCCACCCTCCATACCTTGAGCATGCCTGAATGTCCAGAGAAAGGTATACAACTAATATACTCACAAATTAATTTCATAATGTTATTAATTCATTTTTGTTACATGTACATATATAATGTACATAAAAACCATATAAATGTATATATACATGCATAAACATAAATAAATTTTGAAGAATGAGGCTATATTTTTATTTAATTAGGGTGTTACCCAACCTTTTGGCAGGGAGAGATTTGATGAGATAGGCAAGAAGATCAAGAGAGATAACGATGCGATTTCAAGAGGAGGAGGAGGAGGAGGAGGAGGAAGGCGGCATTTTCAATTAGGTCCTCCCGGAACACTTAATACGATCACCCCTTGCGCCGCGTGTAAGCTCTTGAGGAGAAGATGTGCTCAAGAATGCCCCTTTTCACCTTACTTCTCACCTCATGAGCCTCAAAAATTTGCCTCCGTTCACAAAGTTTTTGGTGCTAGCAATGTTTCTAAGATGCTCATGGTAATTTATTATTGTACAAACCCTAATTGATTTTCCCTCCTTAATTAAATTTTTGTATCATTGTATGTTAATAATCAAATTAATTTTCTCTTCACAAACCCACCTAGAAAAAGCCAATGATTTTATTTATCATCTTAGCAAGAAGTATATACTTTGTATAGGTTGGTAATGCCTTCCAAAGATTTTTTTTCTTAATTTTTAGTACTTGTTTTTAGGTACATAATGCTAGGGATTTATTTTCATATAATTTATCAAGAATTTGGGGAAAGAAAAACCCTCTCAATTATAATATGATAATTATTATAAATTTAGCTTGCAACTTACTAGTATTAGTCTTGAACTCTAATCAAAGTTCAATTGAATAAGAGCCAAATTTATATGTCAAATTGTTTTTTTATCTATCCTTTAATTTCTAGTTGTGTGCAATGTTTCCCTATAATTTGGCATTTTGTTTTTTTTTTTTTTCGTTAGGAGAGTGGGTCCTTGCGGAGAAAAAAGGAAAAACAATCAACCTAAAAATTATTCATCGATATCAATCTTGACCTAAGCATTGCAAACTATTAACAAATAGTTCGTCTAATCATTCTCTATCTAAAATGAACAATGAAAAAAATTGTAGGAATTATATAATTAATAATTAACACATCAAGAATCAAAGATATCCAATAAATTAAAGTTTATAAATTCATGTAAAATTTAAAACTAGCTATATTATAAATCCAACAAATTAAAGTTTATAAATTAATTAAGATTTAAATCTAAAACATTACCAAAAAAATGTGATAATTTAATTAAAATTCAAAAATAGCTATATTATTATATATTTGATGTTTTTATGATGAATTTATATAGGAAGTACCAGAGAGTCAAAGAGCGGACGCAGCAAACAGTTTGGTGTACGAAGCAAATGTGAGACTTAGAGATCCAGTTTACGGTTGCATGGGTGCTATTTCAGCGTTACAACAACAAGTTCAACTTTTACAAGCTGAACTTAATGCAGTAAGAGCTGAGATTCTTAAGTACAAGTTTAGAGATACAAATAATAATCATAATCATAATCATAACAATAATAATAATATTAGTACTTCTACTAATAACAACAACAATAATAATAATCCTTCACCCTCTTCTCATCATGATCTTTCTTTCTTTTCTTCCGGTGCCCCGGTGTCGGTTTCTATAGCCGTGCCACCACCACTAACACCATCCATTCCACCCCCTTCGCCGCCTCCTCCACCACTACCGCCTCCTCTTCATAGTATTCCACGCGATTCTTCGATTTCTTCTTCCATGTATACACATGAACCATCATCATCATCTAATCCTGATCATGATCATTTTAGCTCCATTTCTAATGAAAACATTTCCTACTTTGGTTAAACATAGATCTTAAGGTAACCAAGATTGATAACTTCATTATTAATTAATTATTATTATTAATTATAATGTAATAAGATGATCAAGGATTATTAAATCCAGGTTCTAGCTTTAAGTTTCTTCATTGGAAATTGAAGCCTAATTTGTTTATGTAGAGTGAAATTGATGTAAAAAAACCCTTAGTGTGGTATAATTATTCTTCCTCATAGAAAGATATTTATGGTTGAGGAATAATTATTTCTTTTTGCATAATTTGTATGTTACACATTGATACAAACATTAAATTTAAATTATGAAAATCACATTGTTTACTACTCCTATTTGAGTGTATGTGCTATATTTGATTTTTTTGGCATATAAGATGTGTAATATACACGTATTTAATCTGTTATACTTTAATCAATTCAAATAGTTGAGGTCTACAATACGAGTTGGTTATATACCTACTTATACAATATTGTACTGATCAATTGAGCGTATCTGATCCATTGCAAAAGGCTTTGTTGATGTGTCTTTGTTACATACAGGTTGATTAAGTACTTTTAAAAATGTTGGGACATGTAAGAAAGAAAATGGATAGTGTAGCTATATTTTGACCTGCTCAAGTTAGTAATAAGATACTTGTATCAATATTCAATGTTATGAAATTCATAATATTTTTGTTTTATATACTTGTACAAAATTCCAATCCATATCTTTATTTAATTTAATAAACTTTTCTTCAATGTCAAAATTAGCAACCCTAACATCGAAAAGTAGCAAGAGCAAAGTAAATAAACTTTATGTACTTAAATTAACAAGTGAGGTTGACTAGTCTAAAGGCATATTCATTTATGTTAGTAACTTGTGTTGTAGAGGCAGATTGAACTTTCAGAGTTGCATTTATTTCTACTTTTCTAATATTAGCTTAATTTCATGAAATTAGGTACCAATGCATGCTATTGCCATGTTTGGAAATTGAAGCTTATGAATTAAACTTTTAGAAAAAAAAAAAAAAACGTTACTTTTGCACGTGTGAGGGATTGTTTCGTGCCATGATTGTTTGTGCATTTTTTATTTTATCAATTTACATTTGATTTTGTTCTCAAAGAGGAGGTCAGCTAAAGCTTTGCTTGTATTTTGGACAATGTTACATTAACTTTCAACGTTGTCAACCCTCCAACTGTCAATACAAGGTTATTACTTATTAATATGCCCAAAATAAAAGAAATTAAAATGTCTATATATATATATATAAAATTTGCATTTTCCATACATTAAAGGTATTTCGATATTATTGTAACACCTAAGAGAAAATATTTATGCAAAAACACAATCCTAATGAAGATGGTGAAAAACTCACATTGTAACTTTAAGGTAGCAAGTTCGTGCTCCATGTATGTCCATGTGCTTAGTAAGGAATTCTCTTATACTCTCAGGCGTTAATTTGTATAACCAAAATGACTCACATCGATCTAGGTATAAGCTTAATGGACTATAGTATTACTAAACACCTCATTATGTCAAAAAAAAAAAAAAAAAACTCATGTCTTACTTAGACCAAATACAAATCATCATTACACATTAGTAATCCAATAGGGTTAGGTCCAATGTCATGGTTGCTTGACATTGTGGTATTCTCATCTCGCTTTCGCGTTATCTTCGTTGAGTTTGCTTGTCTGTCTATAAATATACTCTAAACTATGAAACAAACTTTGTATTCCATTAATGATTTTAAAAAAAGGATTAATATGTTTTGAGAAAAAGCAAAAAGTATAATGTGAAAACATACTTACTAGGCCTCCTTCAATCCACTTAATTATACAATACACCTTCAACGTACCAAACTTTTTCATTAACACGATTAGTTGCTCCTGAGGCCCAATATTATGGGCTCTTGAAGCCCAAATGATAACAGATATTTTCAAAATTAGCCCTTCTATTCTTAGAGAATACTTGACGGAATTGAGGCCCTAACCCAATGTAAGTTGGCCTTTCTAAAACTGAAGACTCCCTCCATTTGATTTTGCACAATTTACCAATTCAACTTTACCATGATTTATTTTTTCTATTTTATTAATGCAATGTTATGTTATTATGAATTACTTGATGTGTTCAAATTTTTATTTTGAATATATTTATTTTTTATACTCTGTACTATTTTTATCTATGGTTAAATTATAAGGATTTGTGTAATGATATACATACTTTTATTTTTTTTAGTTTGCCCTAACTAGTTAACCTAAATTTAGCTCCGACTACATCCGGATCTGACCCGGGTTGCACACCTTGGCTTATGGTGGGTGAGTCTTGCAATAAGAGTTTTTACATGAGGCTCGAACTCAAGACTTCCCTTAAGCGGCATCAAGCTACTTACCACTTCAGCCAACTCTTGTTGGGTGCAATGATATATATATACATTAATTCAAAATGTAACTTGAAAGGGGAAAACTTAAACTAGATGAATATCAAACATTTATTCTAGTACATTTTGGTATGTACTCAGAATTTTGAAATTGCGACTTCAACTGCAAATAAGGTTCATTGCAATATTCATTTTCTCTTCTTCAACAACCAATATAACCTACTCTGCCTGTCTTAAGCTCAGGAGTAATGTTACAGACTTGTTTAATACAAGAAATTTTTTTGAAGAGCAATTTATAAGATTTCACATGACTATATTTATACTACTTGTATAATTTAAATCACGAAAGATGGTTAATTAAGCAAAGATTATTGTATGAAAAGTCCAGATAATGCAATTAACAAAGAAGCATATTGTTACATTTGATATTTTTGAAATTTCAGAAAAACAACTTCTACAATTGTGAAAACAGTATGAAAGCTTCAAACACTTAAATTGTACAAATCTTGCTTAAATAAAGACTAATAAGGCATTTATATAAGCCCCTTTAAATCAAACTACAACAAAATCATATCACCAACTTCCTAATTGATTTAATTAGTTAGTCTTCCTGCAGTTCTTCCTGATCTCACCATTGGATCCAGTAAGCGGCTTAATGTCACCCATTTTGATCATGGCTGCAACGAAATCGGAACTAAATCGCCTAGGGTTGCTGCTGTAAGTTTGGACAAGCGCGTTGGTGGAACCGCCGCTGAACAACTGTTGGTCAGAGTGTAGAAGACCCTTTTGGTTAATGATGTTCTTGTAGTAGTTGTTGTCAAAGGATGTTGGGGTTTGGACATCTAAAGGTGCTAAGTTGTTGTCCCCTGTGTTATTAGTACTTGGACAATTTGCTTGCCTTGTTTTTGCAAATGCCGAATTAATGTTCTTTTCGTTGTAAATACGAGTCCTAAAACTGGTGCATCTTGCTTGTCCAATGGTGTGTCCGCCTACAAAAATATTGCACCATTAGCTAAATAAGTTATGACTAAGTCACGATGGACTGTCACATGATAGTGTGTGAATAGTGTTTTATTAAAAAAAAATGTTGCAATCATTAAAGAATGGAAGAAGTGTGTTGTACCTGATAAAGCGACCATTTCAGAGGAAGAAAGGCCTTGCTTTTGGAAGCTAGAGATAAGTTGGCTAAGGCTAAAAGTTGGTTGTGGGATGTCGTTGTTAGCAGCGGATTGGCTAGCTGTCCTAGCATCCCTTCTGCCTAGCTTTACATTCCAAGTTGGTCCTCCAAGCTACAATAATCAATAACAAAACTAAGATCAAGCAACGGATCACAAAAATGGGCATTATTTAAGTTTCATGATGCAGTTTATCATTATTATGTATACTTACACCAACAACGGAGTCTCTAGCTGTGATTGCTAATATATCAGCACATGAGACAATGCCCGGACAAGCTTTCTCTAACGCTGACTTAATTTGGTCAATGACTTCAAATCCTCTAACTGAGCCATTATTGGGAATTGCCATCTTCTCACCCGTGAAAGTAGATGTGTCGTCTAGTAAAAGTGATCCATCACATCCCTGTTACATTTGTAATGTACACATGTTAAATATAGATTTTAATAATATTAGTATTGTTGTATTGACACATTTCTACAATACATTTATGCTTCCTTGGATTCCCATGAAGTATTTACTATTTATATAATCATGTGTTAACATGTGCATGCAAATGGCATTTGAAATAAGACTATTATGCTATAAAGTTTACATTCACGAAGCAATCGTGGAAGAACAAACGTAGAAGAGAAGCACCCATCCTAGCCTCTTTTCTAATAGCGGATTGTACGACAGATTTGACAGTAGAATCGAGATTGGGACACGATTTCGAGTAGAAGTTCGTGGAGAGTTGGGCATTGGTACTACAAATAGTAACCAAAAGAAGGCAAGCCACAATTGTGAGGGAAGAAGAAGAAGAAGCCATGATATATGATTTTTGAGTTAGCAAATTCACAAGTTAAGCAAATATTGCTAACAAAATAAACTAGGAAGTGTGTTTGAAACAAGCTGAGGAAATGCATGTATTTATAGTAAATCTTGTTCTAGTAAAGTTATCTCAAGGCTACATTAATGTGGGACCCTAATAATTTATTTAGTTTGCAATTGCATGCGATAGTTCTTTGAACGTAGTATAAAGAGAAATAATTGGTTGAAAAATATAAAGGTCAAAACTGTAGTCTAAAAATCAACACGCCATAATTATACAACTGTTTTAAGGACTTTTTTAGGACAAAAAAAAAAAGAGACATATACGGCTTGGTCAATGTATTTTCGGTGTAAAATTGTCAAAAGTTGGGACCTACTTTACTCGCACACCTGCTGAATCTAACCAAACAGAGATTTGGTCGACAAGTAATTCAGAATCAAGGCTTCCACTTCTCGCGGATAAAATTTTAAATACGTAGTATGGAACTTTGACATTGTTTCACTTAATTTGTACACCTTCGATTTTTATTAACGATTTTGTCACTTAATAAACATATTTTATTTATTAGTGTGATAAAATGGGGCTCCATTCTTTCTTTATTTACGATTTAATTAAGAGATTTAAAAACTTCAATTGAAAAAAACTTGAAACCTTAAAATTTTGGCCCTTTACTCTTAATGATGTTTGAATTAATGAATACTTTTGTTTTTATGTCAAAATAATACTCGTATATTATAAATAAATAAAAAATTACATTTCATTATATATTCAAATTTTAGAGTTCTTGAAAAGTTTTGAAGTAGAAACATAGTTAGCGAAGTTAGGTCTAATTTCTCTGAATAAAATGGGCTTATCATGTTCCATGTTCGCCCATTATTTCAACTTTATAAAAGTTATTTGGCTCTATTCTATGCTTTGGATATTGTTAAATTTTCACTTAGCTTGGGAGTGATCTCTAATGTTTTTTTTATTTTTATTTTTTTTTATTTTTTTTAATATAGAGTTAGCTCCTTCGTTATGTTAAATCACTAGCACTATAGTTGACAAGACAATTAGGCTATATGTAAATTTGTAGCTTTGTGAAAAAACAAAATAAGCAAAAGTACTTATTTTTTCAACGACCTAAGGCATTTGTCAAAATTTGATCCAATGAATATAATTGAATTGCTAAATTGTAACAATAACAATCAATAAAATGGCGGTACTAATAGAGACTTTGGATCACTCAATTATATATAGTGAATGTTATCCTTTTGCATCGGCCTCTTTGAGAAAATTCCAAAGTTGAGAATAATATAGATGATCTTAAAAAGCTACAAATGTAAGAGAAAAAGAAAATTCCAAAAGGTGAAAGACTAAAACGTAATACTTCTACTTCATATGTTCCATTCGCCTTCCTGAATATAATGTTAAAGTAGCTCATATTTGACATTTTTAAGCTCATAGATTGTAGAATCTTGACCAACTTTTTATTTCCTTACACTATGATGAGTGTTATGTATTTAATTTAATATTAAAAACTGTTGAATTTTGAGATGATATGAAATAGGTTTGAGCAACCCGAATGAGGAGGAGGAGATCGAGTTTAGTCCACAAACAATGTTAAGGATATCCCATACTTAAACCAATTAGAAATAGTAGGGGTAACTCATCTACCTTATAAAGTGAAATTGTTTCTCCTATTTCTCCAATGTGGGACACTTACAAGTGGACAACAATGGGTTTCAACAAAAATTCTGTTATAAATGAAATTTAAAGTATAAATAAATAAATAATTTTTAAATTTTTAAAATTATATATAGACCGTGAAGAATTATACTTCATTCGTTCTTTTTTTATTGCACCATGAGTGATTTTACGCTTATTAATGCATTAGTTTGCCTATTAATATCTTTAATTACACTTTTGTGAAAAGGAAAATGGTAAATATACCCTTAGAGCTATATATAAGGAGCTAAAAAAGGAAATATTAAGGATAAATTTACATTAATCACACCGATTTGCGAGTAATTTTGTCATGAATTCCCAACTTAATTCCATTTTGTCATGTATAGCCTACACTCCAATCTCTAATTTTGCATATCCTTAAATTAAACCGGTGTCCGAGCTGTGTTCCACCATTTTGCCCTCAAAGTAGACTACTACAATTCAACGTTGTTAGGAATTTGCACCTTATAAGAAAGCAAAGTTGCTAGGAACCACAAGCAATTGGATCGGAGTGGAGGTAGCTAAGGGAGATCATCTACAATTAGGTATTGTCTCATATTTTTAACACCAATACGAATATAAAATACAATAATAATAATAATAATAATAATAATAATAATAAGGAAATTTTCATTTTTACCACCTTCAAATAATGACTTTGTCGAATTTACCACCTCCAAAAAAAAACATTTACTTTACCACCTCATAAAAAAATTAAACATCAGTTTTACCACCTCATCTGAGCTTAGGTGACGGAAAACGCTTGTGGGGCCCAGCATAACGGCTAGTTTTTGATTTTTTCCCAAATTTCTCTCGATTTCCCTTTTATTTAAACCTAGTTCTTCATTTGTACACCAAATTCTTGCAGATTGGAGATTAATTTTTGCGATTTTCTTCACAAATCAGTATTTTTGGGCAACCTTAACAATCCCAAACCCTCTAATTATCAAACAATCAATTGAACTCCTCGACAACAAGCATCAAAAAGGTAAGCCATTGTCGTTAATTCTCTAGCAATTTTCGTGATTTCTGTTGTAATTTTTTGGCAATTCGTTGCGTGATTATGTTGCATTTGCTAAGAGTAATTGAAATTGGGCGTTTTGTGAGGTCAATTAAACCCCAATTTCAATTAAAATACTTAGGGTTCATGTAAGATTAAATTAGATTGGGGGTTTTTGTTATGTGAATTGGCTACTGAAATTAGGGTTATATTATGGTGATTGTGTTCAAATACAATTAATTTCATTCTTGTTCTTACTGAATTTCAGAAGGGAATGTCTTCAGTTAGCATGTCACCCTCAAAGGAGAAAAAATGCCAATGTGGAGTTCCAATGTCTAGGCTGACTGCTTGGACTAGGGAGAACCCAGGACGCAAGTTTAGGACCTGCAAATTCTATGATCCTGTGACTGAGTCAAGGGGGTGTAAAGCTTTTGAGTGGGTGGATCAACCAGATGGAACACCTTGGCAAACAGAGGTGATTAACAACTTGCTGCTGGACAAGAAACTAATGAAGGGAGAGCTGAATGACATGAAGAGGGAAGTTGATGATGTTAGTGGACAAAAGAGGTGCTTGCTCAATGAGATTGACAGCTTGAAGATGAAATGCAAAGCTCTTAGCTCAGACGGGAAGAAGATGATCAAGGAAGTGCATGACAGCAATGCAACAACAAAGAAAATGCTCACAGTACATGCTATTGTTGTGTTTTGTTGTTTTGGTTTGGTACTGGCTATGTATTTTAGATCTTAAGTTCATTTAGGAATGCTTAGAAACAAAAAAAATCCCCAACTTATGTTGTGTTTTGTTGAATTATTATGTGTGGATGTTGGGATGACATTTCTTGTACTACTTTTAACAAAATCAATGAGAAATGGAACTTTTTGGTAGAAACATATCACATTTCGTATTAGTACTTGCAACACAATGTTTTTAATTGTTTTACATTGGCTGAGACAAAAGTTAAGGCACCTTTGTGCAAAATCATTGTTCAACTATCATTGTTCAACTACCAAATAAACTTGGTTGTCTATTACAAAATACTAATGAGTAGACCTAGGGTCACAGTTGATTGAGATCCTTGTCCTTCTTGCTTGTCATTACATGAAGCTTGGACCTGGTCTGTATTTTGACTTTGGGAGGAGTAGTTGTTGGCACTCTTGTGGGCTGACTCAGGCTCCTGTTGCTCCTGGTAACAGGCTGAGTTGGCAAAGGCTCTGTTCTTGTTGCAGGCTGGCTTGACACAGCAGTTGCAGGTGCAACATTACTTGACCCAGCCTGTGCTGTTGTTGGAGTCTGATATTGTGGCAACTTCAGTGCAGCCTGCAATCACAGTATGACAAGACTCAGAAACAAAGCCACTAAATACACTCAAGTCACAAAATACACAAAATACCTGTCTTGTTGCTTTCTCTTCACTTTTCTTTCTCTGTTCCTTAAGCCAAGGAGTCTGCATCTGTGGCCTCCCACCCTTTGGATTTGTTGCAGGTGGGTTAGGCTGTTCTGGTGCTGCTTCAGCCTTGCATGTTTTGGCAAAGTGGCCAAACCCACCACAGTTCTTGCATTGTTTCTTCACCTTTGGCTTCTTGCCCTCAGGTGCTGCAGAAGTGCCCTCCCCTGGTTCAAGCTTTCTCTTTTTTGCCTTAGGTCTTCCTGGCTGCACTTTCAGCATAGGTGGCAAAGGCTGTCGTGAAAGAACAAACGAAGGAGAGAAGCACCCATCCTAGCCTCTTTGCTGATAGCGGAATGTACGACAGATTTCACCGTCGAATCAAGGTTAGGGCAAGAGCTAGAGTAGAAGTTCGGGGTCAATTCACTCAATTGAGCATTTGAGCTCCCAACCAAAACCACAAAAAGGTAAGCTACAACTAATAAGCCCATGGAAGAAGAACAAGATGAAGCCATAATTGTGATTAGAATTAAAGAATTTTTTTTTTTAGCAAAGTTATTACAAGCAAATTAAACAAATATTGCTAACAAACTAGGAAGTGTGGATGAAGCAAACTTAGAGAAAATGCATGATATTTATAGTGGTGTCAAAGGTAAAGCTTTATCAAGGTAATATTATAAGTGGGGCCCTAATGACATGCCTAGTTACATGAGATTATATTTTCAACATACTTAATTAGCGGAAGGATTATATAAGAGTGTACTAGATAGGAAAGTCAAGTACTTGGAATTAATCAAAGGGAAAATTAAACCGACCAAGCCATATTTGTCACATAGCGACCTAGCTCAGGCAGTGGACTAACCAACGAGAGTGGTTAGAACATTAATATAAATGAAAGTTTGAATTTGTCACTAAGATAACAGTCATAAGAAATTTAATATGTTAGGTTTGATGGGTCCATTTTTCCAATTGAATTGGAGTATTGGACGCGGTATGCTATGCATATAAGCATGGAGAAGTGAAGTGGTTAGCCGACGGCATAAATTGATCAAACTAAATTAAAATACTTTTTGTAATGCGAGTATTTAATTTGATCCAAAGTTAAATTAAATGATCCAATTGTTCCTTAATGTTAGACGGACTACAAGGGACTCAAAATGATGAAATAATTGTCAAAAGATAAGGAGTAGCTCATTTTATATTAGATGAATTAATTAGTAAAAATAAATTTGAATATATTCAATTATGTGTAAGTGTAACCCATACATCATCACAATAAAATGAATTTTAAATTTTGTGACAAAAAATCCATTTTTTTATACAAATTATGTATACTTTGTGTTTTGGACTATTCATTTGAATTCAAATTCAATATACTTTCCCTAGATTATATCCTTATGAAAAAAATTCATTAAATTAATATCAGGTGTTGTCAATTTTCACTCAATTATCTCAATGTCCACTTTCATCACACTTTTGTCCAAAGAAGTCAATTACCTGATAGTTAAGTTAGGTTAAGAGTGTCCACAATATTGCTAGTATGGGATGAGAAGACATCAAGAATAGATTAAGATGATTGAAATAAAGCTTTTATTTGATTGCTTTTGAGAAGTCACAACTTTATAAGTAGTATATATGTATGATTGGATGGTTTGTGCAAATGAGCCATAACATCTACGCTAATGACTTAGTCAAAGTCTTCCATGGTGCCTAACCTAAAACCGTACCATCTATGTTCTAGAGAATTATCACCTACACCACCTTAATTAGAGAAGAGTTTTTCTATATACAATAATTTGTACAAACTTGTAAAATACGAAATTAGGTTTTGGTGCAACCTATGCTCTTTAATTTCTTACTAAAGCACTTAGCCACAAATTTTAGGTCAAACAGAGCTTATTCTGGCCTATTTATGATCTATTATATTGTTATGTACATTCAATTATTCAAATGAATGCTTATTGATAAGAATAGTTTATTTGTCTAAACTTTAAAAGGGGCAAACAGAAGGGACATAATAATTAAACTCCAATTCGATTCATAGAACATTTTACAATTACAACAAACTCTTAGAACACAAGTTCAACTGGCAATTGTGACGACAAGATGAAAGCTATAAGCACACCTAGGCTCTTTTGAACCAAATTACCCAACTATAACAAGCATTACATAGTTATATGCTCATATATTACTTACAACCACAAGTTATTTAAACTAGTTAACCTTCCTACAATTTTTCCTAATCTCACCATTGGATCCGGTGAGCGGCTTAATATCACCCATGTTGATCATGGCGGTGACAAAATCGGAGTTAAATTGGCTAGGCTTGCTACTATAAGTTTGGACGAGAGCATTGGTGGAACCACCACTAAACAATTGTTGATCGGAGTGTAGAAGACCCTTTTGGCTAACAAGGTTCTTGTAGTAGTCGTTATCAAAGGAAGTTGGGGTTTGGACATCCAACGGTGCTAAGTTGTTGTCGCCTGAATTACTAGCACTTGGACAATTTCCTTGCCTTGTTTTGGCAAATGATGCGTCAATGTTGCTCTCATTGTATATGCGCGTCCTGAAACTTGTGCACCTTGCTTGTCCAATTGTGTGGGCACCTAATTGATAAAATATGTGAGCAAAAATCATCATCAAGATTGTGACATAATATATAAAGTAAGCAAATGCGACGACAAGTTATGCCCATCATAATTAATTAAATAATAAATTTATCGATGAAGACGTTGTGTATAATAAGAAATTCAAATGACTAAAAGTGCCAATCTATATGTATTGATCCAGTGCCGGTATAAATATTTCATTAATAATATGTAGTATTGATATTTAAGTTAAAACAATTATACATGTCTTTGAACTCCTTATTAATTTTTATTTTTTCAGTCTACCAATAGAAAATTATTCTCCCATTGAATTACGTCAACCTAATATTTGAATTATGAATTAAATTAAATATAAATTTTTTGATGAGAGATCTGGATATATAACACTAATCACTCATTATGTTTGTCATCATACGGTATTTGTTTTAGTATAAGATTAATATTTACTTTGTTTTATTAGAATAAATAATTATTGAATTAATTTCTAAATGGAGTGGACCGTTTAAAGTTCTAAATTCTAATCATAACAAACAACGACAAAATAATTGGTAAACACTATAAATCTAGTCAATATTTTCGTACTCCTTTTACAATTATATACCCGGCGAGTAACATGTTTCTTTCTAGCACAAAAGCACAGTGTCTTTTTCTTTCACTCTTTTTCTTCTCCTTTTCTTTTTCCTTGTAAAATCAACTCCTTTTTGTCTCAATAATTTCACTATTATTGCTCTCCTTTTAAAACCCTAATACGAAGTATATCCTTGTATACATTCGACAACATACCTTTTATTTTCATTCTATCACATACTTTAAAAATACTACTGAACATATAATTATCTCATATCATGCTTTAATATCAATGCAATAACTTACTCCTTATAAAAACTAATGTAGCATATCCTTAAAAAAGAATATAGCGAGGGATCTATGTCCATGTGTACGTACACAATTGAACCAATTGATAATTAAGCTAATAACCTTCCAAAAATTATTAGTTATTATATTGGTTTTCTTACTTTGAGCTTCTATAAATTAATTTATGCATTACTTTAACCAAGGCATGTTAACTTAAGCTATACCAAATAAAATGCAATTTAACTTTTGGAGGGTAAATAAATAAAAAGGTCATAAAACTATAAAAGCATGTAGTTTATATATATACCAGATAAAGCAACCATATCGGTGGTGGAAAGCCCTTGATTTTTGAAACTAGTGATGAGAGCACTAAGGCTTGAGGTTGGTGCTGGGATATTGTTGTTAGCAGCAGATAAGCTAGCCGTTGTAGCATCTCTTCTTCCTAGCTTCACATTCCAAGTTGGTCCTCCAAGCTATAATAACAATATAAAAATTTAAAACAAGAAATTGTGTATTATGATAGATTGATAGTAATAACATTTTTATTAGTTTCATGCATCAACTAGTGTAATGAGTAGTAAATGAATCTTAGCTATTTACTCACAATGACAACGGAATCTCTTGCAGTAATGGTCAAAACATCAGCACATGAGACAACTCCAGGACAAGCTTTCTCAACCGCGGTTTTTATTTGGTCGATTACTTCAAATCCTCTTAGTGAACCACTATTGGGAATAGCGGTTTTCTCACCAGTAAAACTAGAAGTATCATCTAGTAGGACTGATCCATCACATCCCTGTTATGTATCAAAAGAATAAATTAAGAGACTTCAAAACAAAAAGATGTCCGCATGTGTGTTTATTTAAAAATGAAATGAAAGATGTATGATATGATATGACATAAAGTTTACATTGACAAAGCAGTCATGAAAAAATAGACGAAGGAGCGAAGCACCCATCCTAGCCTCTTTGTTGATAGCGGATTGCACAACAGACTTTACGGTAGATAAGAGATTGGGACAAGAGCTAGAGTAGAAGTTCGTCGTAAGTTGAGCATTTGAACTCCCTAAAGAAACCACAAGTAAAGCCACAACTACAAACACAGCTAAGAAAGAAGATGATGCCATAATTTGTATTATTATTCAAAATTAAAGGAAGTTTGTTAGCCAAATGACGAGCAAATTTAGCTAACAAATTAAACTAGGACGTGTGTTGTTGGATTGAAGAAGCTTAAGGAAATTGCATGATATATATAGTGATCTTAATGATAAGATTTCTCAAGGTTATACTTCATATAATAAGAAACCCTACCAATAATGAATAGTCCAATATAAATATGCCTAGTTGCATGTAATTGAAGGTTGGTTTTGAGTTGTGTTCTTAAGTGGTAGGCTAATTTAATGTTTGATCCCCTAAAGATAAGTCAATTATTGGAATTTTGTTATGAATGAAGCTAAGCAACTGTGACCCAAGCAATTTTATTTTTTTGGACATAAAAACAATTGTTGTTTTTAGATGACTTAATAAGCTCATATAAACTGTCACACATCAAACCAGTAGCTGGAATTTACGAGATTTGGTAGACTTTGGAATACAGAAGTTTCATAGTTTAAGATTAAATCGATTATGTATACTCGCTTACTCGTACATTTTTATTTTTATTTTTTTCGAGTTCATTTTAAAATTCTCAAATGAATAAAACTGATAAAATGAGTAAAAAAAAAAAAAAAACCCCCTTACATTGTAAATTTTGTTAAATAATGTTTGGATTAAGTACTCTACATAAACAATTATTGTAGAATAATATATGGCTAAATATAGTATATATTTTTGTGGTTGTTGCACCTCCCCGTAAAATATTTTACAAAATAGTTGCGGTTTTCAGCCCGTATAATACATATTTTTTAACTTAATTATTAATTAGGTTGATTTGAATGTTACTCTTATATTATTACAAGAGACCATATATAGAGCTGTCAATTCGGGTAAATGGGTTGGGTTTTGGTCGGGTAACAGTGGGTCGGGTCAACTCGGATCGGGTCAATTCGGATTAATTCCATAACCTATGCGGGTCGGGTTTGAGTTGGGTCATGCTTGAGTCGGGTCACGTCGGGTCATACTTCCTATCGGGTTTAGGTCGGGTTTCATTCGGGTCGGGTGAACAATAGGTCGGGTTTAATTCGGGTTTTCACGGGTTAGGGTAATTTTCGGGTTCGGGTCAGGTTCGGTTCAAGTCAATAATTTGCAGGTTATAATCAGGTCGGGTCATTTTCAAATCGGGTCATTCTCGAGTTCAAGTCGAGTTCGGTTCAAGTCAATAATTTGCGGGTTATAATCAGGTTGAGTCATTTTCAAGTCGGGTAATTCTCGAATTCAAGTCGGGTTATGTTCAAGTCAATAATTTGCAGGATACAATCATGTCGGGTCATTTCCAAGTCAGGTCATATTCGGGTTCAACTAACTATAAATAGATAATAATTATCATTTTTATCAAGCTAATTATTTCCTTTGACTATAATATATATGACAATATACTAGGGAACTATAGTCTATAATTTAGGAAGATAATTATCTCCTTTAACCATACAACAAATATATACTACATTTAACTCTTAAATTTGAGGATGATGCTCCTTTCTTTTGCTGGCCTGGACCGACTTGGTATCTCTAGATAAAATGCTTTGATCAACAATAATAAGGTGGTCTAAATTGCATTTAAGCTGATTTAAAATCAGGTCAGGAATAATTTGGGTTGATTTTAGGTCGGCGCAATAACAAGTCGTGTTAATTTCAAGTCAAGTTAGAAACAGATCGGGTTGAATTTTTGGGTTGGGTAAGTAATAGGTCTGGTAAAATGAGGGTCGGGTCAATAACAAGTCGGGTTTAATTTGGGTCTGGTCAATAAAAAGTTTGGTTAATTTCAGGTCGGGTTTGTAACAAGTTGGGTTAAATTCGGGTCGGGTTAGGAACAGGTCGAGCTGAATTCAGGTCAGGTTAGTAACAAATCGGGTTAAATTTGGGTTCTGACGGATTAAAACGGGTTTAGGTCAATTTCGTTACAAGTCGGGTTCGGTGCAAATTAATTAAATTGGTTGTTGTAAACCGGTAAATCGGTGCAAATTGTAAACCGGTAAAATGGTCGTTTAAAGGCAAATTGGATGGTTCAACCCACCCAATTGGACTCCCGCAGGTTATTAAGGACCATGATAATCATTATGGCAATTTTTATTCAGGGCGAAAAAAAGTCAAAAATTTCCAAAATTGAAGCCTAATATCCACGCTTGTTGAGAAATTTTGAAAGTTTTGGGGCCTGATGTCGCAAAGTCTTGAAATTTTTGGGCATACATTTAGGGGTCATAAAATGTCGTTTGGAACCATATATGATCATTATATGTCATAGACGCTCATGGTAGGCTTGAGTTAATGAAATCGGTGTAAGTTGTAAACAGGTAAATTTGTCGTTTAAAAGAAAATTTGATGGTTCCACCCACCCAATTGGACTTCCGGAGGGTATTAGGGACCATGGTAAACATTTCAGCAATTTTTATTTACGGGCGAAAAAAGTCAAAAATTTTCAAAATTGAAGGCTAAGATCCATGTTTTCCAGAAATTTTTGAAATTTCGAGGCCCGGTGTCGAAAATCCTTGAAATTGTAGGGTATACATCTCGAGGTCATATAATGCCGTTTGAAAACATATATAATCATTGTATGTTGTCATAAATGTTCATGGTATGCTTGACTTAATGAAATTGGTGCAAATTACAAACCGGTAAATTTGTCGTATAAAGGCAAATTGGATGGTTACACCCACCCAATTGGACTCCCGGAGGATATAATTAGTAACCGTGGTAAACATTTAGGCAATTTTTATTTCCGGGCAAAGAAAGTCAAAAAATTCCAAAATTAAAGGCTAATATCCACGCTTTTTGAGAAATTTTGGAGGTTTCAGAGCCCGGTGTCTAAAAGTCTTGAAATTTTAGGAGATGCATCTCGGGGGTCATATAATTCTGTTTGGAAGCATATATGATCAATATATGTTGTCATAATTGTCCGTGGTAGGCTTGATTTAATGAAATCGGTGCAAGTTGTAAACCGATAAATTGGCCTTTTAAAGGCCAGTTGGATGGTTCCACCCACCCAATTGGACTCCCAGAGGTTATTAAAGACCATGATAAACATTCCCACAATTTTTATTTTCGGGCGAAAAAAAGTAAAAAAAATCCCAAAATTGAAGGCTAATATCCACGCTTTTTGAGAAGTTTTGGAGCTTTCGAGGCCCGGTGTCGAAAAGTCTTGAAAATCTATGGGATACATCTCGAGGTCATATAATGTTGTTTGAAATCATCAATGACCATTTGTCATAAATGTTCGTGGTAGGCTTGAGTTAATGAAATCAATGCAAGTTGTAAACCGGTAAATTGGTCATTTAAAGGCAAATTGGATGGTTCCACCCAATCAATTGGACTCGTGAAGGTATTAAGGACCATGTTAACATTTCGGCTATTTTTATTTCCGGGTGAAAAAAAGTCAAAAAATTCAAAAATAGAAGGCTAATATCCATATTTTTTTAGAAATTTTAGAGGTTTTAGGATTCAGTGTCGAAAAGACTTGAGATTTTAGGGAATACATCTCGGGGTCATATAATGTAATTTGAAACCATATATGGTAATTAATTGTTGTCATAAATGTTCGTGGTCGGCTTGAGTTAATGAAATCGGTGTAAGTTATAAACCGATAAATTGGTCGTTTAAAGGCAAATTGGATGGTTCCACCATTCCACTTGGACTAACGGAGGATATTAGTGACCATGCATGGTAAATATATCCGCAATTTTTATTTTCGGGCGAAAAAAAGTCAAAAAATTCCAAAATTGAAGGCTTATATTCAAGCTTTTTAAGAAATTTATGAGGTTTCGGGGCCCGGTGACGAAAAGTTTTGAGAATTTAGGGGATACATCTCGGGGTTATATAATACTATTTTAAACCATAAATTATAATTATATGTTGTCATAAATGTTAATGGTAGGCTTGAGGTAATGAAATCGGTGCAAGTTGTAAAGCGGTAAATTCCCCATTTAAAGGCAAATTGGATGGTTCCACCCTCCTGATTGGACTTCCGGAGGGTATTTGGGACCATGGTAAACATTTCGGCAATTTTTATTTACAAGCGAAAAAAGTCAAAAAATTCCAAAATTTAAGGTTAATATCCATGTTTTTTGGGAAATTTTGGAGGTTTCGAGGCCTGGTGTCAAAAATCCTTGAGATTTTAGGGAATACATCTCGGGGTCATATAATATCGTTTAGAACCATATATGATCAGTATATGTTGTCATATATGTTCGTGGTAGGCTTGAGTTAATGAAATCTTATATATAATTTAAGAGTCACTCTCACCACGTTGCTCCAAAAGCCAAATCCTAAATCCTCATTCACTCCCGCCTATTTACCTAATCCTTCCATTTCTCCAACAAAAAAATCTATCTAATTTAAATTTAAATTTTAAAAAATAAAATTAACAAACAAATACACATGGCAGTTTCAACGTCTCCCTATATTATATAACCATTTCAGCAACTAACATTCAAAACTATCCCTCACATAATCCAACCCTTCAATTATATGCATTTTTAGTGACTACCCTCCAAACAACTTCTCTAATCATCAAAACGAAAAAATGTGCAACACTCTTTTTGCGTGACTGGCCTCACCAATAATTGCTTGCAAAAGACCAAAGGAACTTATAGAGCACCGATGAAATAACCCCTATAACACTAGCCGAGTAACCCCTATAACATTGAACTAGTAAACTCTATAGCTTTGACAACCCTAAAATAGTTGGTCATATTGCATGGCTACCGACATATAAGAGTAAGACCCTATTCTTTTGAGATTCTAAGCAGAGCAGAGAACATCATATTTTATATATCAAAGCAAAGCAAGTGTCAACAGGCATAACAAGTGTCAGCAGATTATTAATACTCGGTAGAGTATAATTAAGTAGGGTTTAGCAGAGCATACCAAACCACAAGTCTACAACAGACCAGAGCAGCTCAAAAGAATAGGGTCTAAGTTACAACATCAAAAACAACTTCAAGTATTTTAAAAATATATTTTTTCTTATATTATATTCTTCCTCCGTTTCTTTTTAGTTGACACGTTTCATTAGTCGCGTTTGCCCATGCACAAATTAAATTATTAATGTCTTTAATTGCCGATAAGCAAAAATTATAAAAAGTTGATATTATGAAAACATACATTGTGACGAATATAACAAGATCTCACTTGATTATATTTTCACTTACATATAAATCACAAAACATGGTCAAAGGGAAATGTGTGAATAGCGCTAAAGTCAAAACGTGGCAACTAATAAAAAACAGAGGTAGTATTTAATATTTTTCTAATATAATATATATATATATATATATATCCGTGCATTTTGCACGGGCACACTCTAGTAGGTGCAAATTGTACAGTAAATCGGTAAATTGACCGCTTAAAGACAAATTGGATGGTAATTGAACTCCCGGAGGGTATATGGGATCATAAACCTTTCGAAATTTTTTATTTACGAGCGAAAAAAAGTCAAAAAATTCCAAAATTAAAGGCTAATATCCACGCTTTTTGAGAAATTTTGGAGGTTTCGAGGCCAGATATCGAAAAGGCTTGAGATATTAGGAGATAAATCTCGGGTCATGTAATGCCGTTTGGAACCACATATGGTCATTATATGTTGTCATAAATGTTCGTGGTAAGTTTGAGTTAATGAAATCGGTGCAAGATGTAAACCGGTAAATTCGCCGTTTAAAAGCAAATTGGATGGTTTCACCCACCCAATTGGACTCCTAGAGGGTATAAGGGACCATGGTAAAAATTTCGGCAATTTTTATTTACGGGCGAAAAAAGTCGAAAAATTCCAAAATTAAAGGCTAATATCCACGCTTTTTGAGAAATTTTGGAGGTTTCGGGGCCGGTGTCGAACAACCTTGATATTTTTGGGGATACATCTCGGAGTCATATAATATCATTTGGAATCATATATGATCATTATATGTTGTCATAAATGTTTGTAGTAGACTTAAATTAATGAAATCCGTATAAGTTGTAAACCGGTAAATTGTGAAAGTTTGACTTTGTTACATAAAGTGAACATTTACAAGTTACTATTACGAATAGTTGAGCTAATTAGCTAATGAGTTAGTGGCCACTGGCCAGGGTCCACTTTGTCCCACGTAAAGTGTACGTGTTTCTTTATTTATCCGTGCAAAAAGCTTATCCACTTTATTTTTAGATAATAACTAGGGGTGTAAATTACTTAGCGTATGAGTGTCGGTTAGAAGACACATTTTCAATGCATTAACTCACTATTTGATTTTATCACATACTCCGCACTTTATTATTTAACTTAAATTATCCTTTTGAGAATTAAAATTATTTAAATAAATAAAAATTTCTTCAAGAAAAAGTTATTGCATGAAATTAAGTTATTTTTCAAAATTGAAAATTTTTTGTTGAATTTAAATTAATTTTAATAGTTCATTATTTTATATGATTTTTTCAAATTGTTTATTTTTATTTAACTTAACTTATTATTTACAATGCTAAATATTTTTTTTAAGATGAAAACACCATGACATTAATAATATGTTTAAACAATATAATATAGAGAAATAGTTTAAAATCTACTGAAAATAAGTACAAAAATATTATAATGTGTATTTCCATACCCATCTCCTCATTATTATTCATATATAGTCAGGAAATTGATCAAATTGAACAAGTCAATTCCCGTTCAATTCATATTTAAATACATAATTAAGGGATAAAAGAGTGATTAGTTGATAACCTATAAGATTTCAGGTTTCTTAATTGTTATATTTTGACATGACTATTTAAATAGGAATTCTTACAAGTCACTCCTTGCCAAGACGTTTTCTTATAGACAATGCTTTCAAAATAATTTTAAATATTTTGGTTCTTAATTAAAATAAAATTGAAGATAACGAAGTCCATAACAGCAAGTGATAATGTCAAATTTGGACAATATGGTTTTGTCATGTAATTAAGTATTAAGGCAGATAATTACATCTATTAGTCAAGTCCACAAATTAGTAAATGCACCATTGCATGCTGCTCAGCTGCTCCCACCGAAGCATGTAAGACTTGCTCACAAAAGTTTATTTCATGGGCTATCATTTTCACGGAGTCACACCGTGGTGTATTTGGTCACCTTGCACCATTGTGAAGCACTATTTTCGATGCTCTCAAATTTAAATACTCCGGCCGTTCATAAAACTTATTTAAGTATTATCAGTCATTCAGCATATTGGTATAAAATTTACGAAACACTTCATTTATATTTAACCCCTCGAATCCTCGATAAAGGGAGTACATGCATATTTTTGTATACTATCGGCAAAGTAAATTTCTTACTCTATCCTTTGTCATATTGTCTAGATTCCTAAGTTTGTGAAATTTATAATTGTCTCGTGTTTAGGTTTTTAGGTATTTACAGGCATACTAGAGTTGAAAAGCTTAGAATTTTGCTACTCATATTAATGAAATGTGTTAAGAAAAGACGTACAATTATTATTGTGAAAGATAAAGCTAACGATATAGTCATTTGGAAAGGTACCCACTACCCACCTAGCTACAGTATGTATGTATAAGCCAGCAATTCAAATAGATCGGCTAACTAAACAGTGCATGCTTTCAATTGCATAAAACCCTTTTTCGTGGTCAAATGCCCATAGCTACTCCTTACTAATTTGTGTTTAAATTTTAAGACGCTTAATTACTTTTTTTCATAATTAGCTAGCGTTGATGGGTATAAATATGTAACTTAGTTGGTTAAAGCTTATTTAGTATATAATTTGTTCTTTAACTTGTTTTACAAAGAAAACATAGTTGATAGATGTTGATGTACATCTTACATCTCCTTTTAATAGGTGTTTTTTCAATAATATGAGTGGAGCTAACTCAAACTTGTAAAAGAATGTATTGGCCTGGTGCTTAGCTGATCAACTACAATCATACATACTTTCTCGCTCCATATTAACTACAAGTCTCTACAACACTTGATATAAACGATTGTTAAACATTTATAAAAAATCGTATAACTACGGTTTCATACTTACTTGATTAAAGTATTACATAATCATACTTATTAACAAGTACAAAAATTCCATCTGAGTATGTCACGCCATAAAAGCTCGAACAAAAAGGTTTGGTAGAATATTCCATAAATTAATCTTCAAAGAATAACGACATGTGCCTACAATTTACCAACAACTATTGTTAATTGGTCCGATGCCAAGGTTTGATACAGTCATCTACCACTTTAATTCTCCCAACAAACTTTGACTACTTAATTTTATAAATAAAATGAAATTAAATTAAAGGACCAATAATTTCAATAGATACTACTCCTATGATTGTGTCAACTTTAATTACCCAATTTTGATATTTTTGATTGATCCTTTTAAAAGATTTCATCTTCTAGAGATCTTTTTAGTAGTGTACTACAGCTATCTATCTTAAGGAATGTCATAGGAAAATACAAATTACATAACTTACGGAATAATTATGTTAAGCAAAGGTTTAAGCTTATGACTTTAAAATCATATTGAAATTAAACCTTTTTTTATGCTATTTAGGGTTAGTGATCGGATTTTAATTTAAATACTGAACTTGTTTAGTTGAATTAGGAGTTATATGAGATGAGAATTTGTGAGTATCTAGCTAAGTCTACTATTTAACTTACGGGGAATATAGCATCAACTAAATTTCGAGTAGAAATATATTATTTACATTTGATCAATCATATTTCAACCCATTCGAAATTCCACGCTTATTTCTTTTAATATACTTCATAGTTATATACGAATATCATATTGCTACTAACTAATTTTTTTTTTTTTGAAATAATATAATTGAATAATGTATGGTGGGAGTGATAATCTAGTAAATTAAAAAAAAAAATCCTTTTTATGTTATCATGTCACATGTAGATATATTAAGGATTGAGCTAGGCTGCACACTTATTTTTTAATACAAAGAATTAAAAGCATGTCACCTATACTAATGTGATGACTCATCAAGCGGGATTTATAGTTTTTTCATACAACCAATTGTAAATTAACTTTTTAAAAAAATTAAGGAGAATTTCCCAATTAGGATGGATAGAATCGTACATAGCTAGATTAATTAGATCCTTGATTTGAGAGTGAGGGGTAAAATTGTAAATTAGCTAATGGATGAGAGATTTATTTTGAATACAAAGTATTTGGTTTATTTACTCTTATGTTTTCTAAAAATGTACTCTTACAACCTAATTTGCACCCAAAAAAAAAGGTACAACCAATTAATTAAGAAAGAACTTGTAGATAATTTACTTCTTTAAATAAACTTGTATTGTTGACGCTTTATGATAAATGCATCACTAAACATTACAATATCTATGTCTTACGACTCACAGTACAAATTAATTGACGTAAATAAAGCATAATAAAAACTCACAATTCTTAAGGAAAGTAAAAATGCAACATCATCACAAATTAAACTCAAACTTAGCTTATAATTCTTACAATAGCCTTAAGATATATAATTAGTTCACTCTCCTGCAGTTCTTCCTAATTTGTCCTTGTGAACCAGTAAGAATATTGATGTTACCCATCTTAATAATCGAGGCAGTAAAATCGGAGATGAATGCATTTGGATTCGAAGCATAAGTTCGGACAAGCGTATCAGTAGCACCTCCTCCGTTGTACAACTCTTGGTCTGAATGAAGAATTGCTTGTTTGTTAAGAAGGGTCTTGAAATAAGTGTTGTCAAATTTGTTAGGACTTTGAGCATCTAAGGGTGCCAAGTTATTGTCTCCATTTCCATTTTGTTTAGGGCACTTTCCTTGGTTTGATTTTGCAAATGAGGGATCAATGTTCTTGTCTTGGTATATGTGTTGCCTAAAGTTTGTGCACCTTGCTTCTCCAATTGTGTGGGCCCCTGTTATTTTTTTATTTATTTTTTTTATCGATTTTAAACGTAACAGAAAAATTGTATGTCAGATAGAATTCATGGGTAAGTACAAAATTAGTTTTAAAAATATTCCTCTAGGGAAAATTACATGTTTAAAATTAGGTGCTTTTGGTTAAAGTCTTGTTTAATTGAAACATATAATAACGGATTATTGGGTATGAGTATGATGTTGTGCATACCGTACAAGGCAACCAAGTCCCTAGTAGAAAGTCCATGATTTTGGAAGCTAGAAATGAGATTACTGAGGCTAGCATTTGCTGCAGGAATTGTATTGGTGGCGTTGGCCTCGGCGAAATAGGCTGTCAATGAATCTCTTCTACCAAGCTTCACATCCCAATTAGGCCCTCCTAACTACAATATTTCATTAAAAACATATATAATTAATCTATAATTATTTAGATACGACTTTTAGCCCCTTTATAAAAATTTGTAAGAGTAAAGGATGCTTACAATAGCAACGGAATCTCTAGCAGTAATTGCTAAAATATCAGCACAAGAAACTACACCCGGGCAAACTTTTTCAACCGCTGATTTGATTTGATCTATGACTTCAAATCCTCTAGCAGAGTTTCTATTTGGAGCTGCACCTTTTTCACTCTTGAAAGAAGGGGAATCATCTAGCAAATTAGATGCGTCACAACCCTGTTTGTCACAAAACATAAATATTAATACATCTTGTATGACAAAAAAAAAAAAAAAAAAAAAAAAAAAGAGAGAGAGGTATATCCAGTCCAGTATATCAAACGTATGAATTTGGGCTTAACATGTTGTCCAGTTCAGCCCAATTCATGAAACATTTTTTAGGAGAGTGGCCCATTAAAATAGGTAGCTCGGCCCAGAATAATACACGGGCTATAACAACTTGGATTATTTTTGCTCCGGCCCAAATCCATAAAATTTCTAAATAAAATTGTACGAAGTATCATTTTCTTCATTTTTTGCAGATGATCATAACTAGGTGCCCAAAATCACTACATGAAAATAAATTTTAGAAAAATCAATAATAAAATTACACATAATTAAAATAGTATGTGTAAGACTATATGTTAACTTATCATGCAAGATGGAATAGTGCAACTATGCAAAGATGAGAGTTGGAATTGAAGTACATGTATAGAATATGCACTATGCACAATAATAATGAATTGTAACCTAAGGACGAAGGATAAGTTGATTACATGGACAAAGCAATCATGAAAGTGAAGGCGGAGCAATGAGGCACCCATACGAGGCTCTTTGTTGATAGCAGATTGCACCACACCTCTGATAGTCGAAAATAGTTGTGGACAAAAATTATAGTATAGATTAGCATTAGATCTTCCGATACAAAGAGGAAGAAAAACGAACAAGACTAGCAAAAGAGGAGACGGAAAAGCCATTTGTATGTTACTCCGTACTAATCAAGCCACTCAATGCTTAACTAGCAAGTATATAGATGAAAGTGTATATGTTGAGAAGAAGATCACCAATTCAAGGCTATTTATAGTAGAACTTAAGTCCTTGCATGTAAGATTTTAGGTCGAACCCTCTCAAGGTTGGGGCCCTTTCAAGGCACCTAATTCCATGACTTGTAGAAAGTAAAAATGGAACTAAATTTCTACGTTTCCACACAAAGGTATAATATGTTACGATTAGAAAAATCAATTAGAATTTGACGAAAGTAATAAAGGTGATTAATTAGTTATGGTTAATATGCTACGTTGTTCATTGATATGAAAGTATGCTCAACAACTCCATATAATTAAGATGTGATAATACGCGGAGATTATAGTGCTCACCTTTAACAGGATGTGTTACTTTTTGACTTGGTTATATTTCTTTGCATGAGCTCCATGCTTTATCATCTTTCATTCTAGCCAATTTTCATAATGTTAGTTGTGAGCAAGTTATTGGTCGTCATGTTTAGCTTTACTCTAACAAATTGTTTTTGAACGTTGTCAAAACAAAAATTAAATTAAAAAATATATATATGTATTGCTTTAAAAAACTTTTTCTAGTATAACACTTATCCATCATTGAAATTGTATAATTTGCTTTTTTATTTAAATAATCAAAAGCTTGTTAATTTTATTCTTTTTTTTTTTTTTTTTTTTTTTTTTTTTTTTTTTTACCACTTAAGAATATTGTTAAAATTCTTTCAACATGCATGTAAGTCAAGAATATGGATTTTAATAGTTGTTTATGTATAATTTTAAATATTAATGCGTAATGTGTGTTTTGAATACCTTAAATGAAGCAAATAGTACAACTATTGTAGGAAGATAGTCATGATACTAGGACAAATAATTTAATGAAAGATAGCAATATGAAATGAAAGTGTAGATTCAAAAGACTCAAAGTATTTTTACATAATAAGGAATCGTGTAATCAATGTAAACCTAACATGCATTAATTTTAGATTGATTGTGTTACAAAGTACTTTTTTCATCAGCTGATGATAATTGAGTAAGTAAATAATATTTCGTATATGACTAGAACTAATTAATTGCATAAAAACCACTATATATGTTGTCTGATTATTGATAGCCTAAAAACCTAACTACTCTATCTTAGATTTTTTTTTTATTTTTTTTTAGCCTCAATAACAACGAATTGAACACTACTTTCCCTCTTAACTCGATTAGCTAAGAGATTGATGTCATTAATTACGCAATTTTAAATCCGTGACATTTTGGTGTTTATTCTCTCCACACCCTATTTTCTTCTAAAAAAACGAAATTGTTATTAGTGCATCTTTTCTAACTGATAAATTAAATTAAGTGCAGTTGCAAATTGGTCCAAGCCAAACATCAAAATAATATATGGAGTGCATATATTATAAGCAAGACTTGGCATGATCAAGGCGATTGTAGCTATTGATTTTTTTCCCCTACATGCATGTTTGTAGAAATTTCACTAGTTTGGTCATTTCCAAGTCACCTAACTCAAAAACTTATTCCAATCAATAATTCAACACCCAAAAAAGAGTTTTTACGAGTATATTTGAAATATTATGAAGATATTGACTATATTATTTATCTTTGGGGAAAACTAGATGTTGACTATAGTCTATAAAAAATAAAATTTGACACGAAATATATAAGCATCAAACAAGGTTTTCATTTTCAGGATTTGGATAAACGTGGATATTATAATTCACTCTAAAAAGACAATGCAACTTTTGACTTGTTTAATAAATTTGAGTAGCTAACTTTTATTCTTACCCCTTTTCTTGTTGCCAGTAGTGAGCAATTCATTGGACAAGAATTATATTAAGATTAATTAAGATGATTTACTTTATCATTGGCATAACTTTGTTTCTAAGCTAGCATTATTGACGGTAATTGATGAACCTTCGTCAATTATTTGTAATAAACTTGATTGAGAAAATAATTAATTCTTGTTTATTCCCTGCCTTAACACATGGATATATGTTCGAGGTTTTTCAGGTGATTAATAAAATTTACTCTTACTCCATTATTTTGTAGAGGCTATTGCTATTCAAAGTAAAAACTACAAGATCTTAATTTTTTTTTTCTTTAAAGAAACAAAAGGATATTCTTTAAAATTTTCATTCTTACTAGGGTAGTAAAATTATGTAAACTCCTTAAGTAGATCAAACAAGATATGTAAAAAAAAAAAGATACTTAGAGATAGATATTTATTTACGAAATATATCTTTAATGTAGGGGGAAAAAAAAATTCTTATCCTTAATCTAATTCCAAATTGAAGTGTATGAACTATCTTCTTTATCCTTTAATGAATGAAACATTTAAATCTAATTGAAACCAAAAAAAAAAAAAAAAAAAAAAAAAAAAAAAAAGAGAAGAAGAAGAACATGTAGAGGGATATATGTACTAATGTACATGTATGTGACATAATGTGAGTAGTGAATTATTATTTTCTATAAGGCTAGTCAAAGTAATTAATGATGAAAAATTAAAAAACCACTAACAATATCACATGTGATATTGATAGGGAACCAACTCCCTAGTACAATGATCTCTAACGATGTCCATCTTTTCGCATGTCCTAGCTAGAGAATCTTCATTGAAAAATATAATTCCACTGCTATGATTTGTATATAACATTGAAATTTTAATAGAAGTAAGCAAAATAATAATAATTAAAAAAAATCCCCCACAACAATAATCGGGAGGGGACTGAAATCTAACTATCCATAACTGATCTCTGAATCCGAATTAGCCCTAAGGGTGAATCAGGTGGAACAAAGAAAAAATAATAATAATTAAAAAAAAAATCCACATCCTTTTTGCAAAGTAATTGAGCTAATGGCTATTTGATAATATGTAAATCTACACATAGAACAAGTTTACAGTAGTACCCTTATTAAACAAAACTCATCTAATGAATCGACTAGTATGTATAAGGCGACTCGATAGGTTTTCGAGTTGCACTTTATATACAGGTGACATAGAAAATCTTATTTAAACCACCAAATAAGTCGAGTTATAGAGTCGGTATACATATATAGTGCGACTTGTAAACCTATCAAGTCGCCTCATGTATGTTATATTAGGCGACTCGTCATGTGCTTTAATGATTTTTAACCCTAATTTAACAAGTCTTCAATTAGTATGAAGTAACTTTATCGGTTTATTAGTTACACCTTACATACAGGTAATTCTAAAAGTCCAACTTATTAGGGTTTTTTTGTAGTAGTATAAAAAAATTAAAAGAGTTGTTATGATTTGGCAAAAATTACGTACATTCATGCAATATTTTGGTTGTCCTTGATTTATATTAGCATATACTCCATCCATAGCTTACTACTTGTAGCTTTCTAATCATGATTGTTGGAGGAAATAAGTGAGGTTCTTGATCGACTTTGTATTAAGTATACTTTAGCTTCAATAATTAGCAAAAATGCTTGCTAATCAAAGAAATCTAAAATTTCAACGCTAAGTAATAAAGGGCGCCATTAATAACCAATTTATAAAACAGGACTCAAGGTGAAGCTTCCATTCGTATGGTGATCCACCTCAGACAAGCCCATAACTCCATTTACAAGGGTTTGACCTTTTGACGGAGGATTTTTGACTTTTAGAGCTTTAGGTCCCTTCTTAAAACTTGTACTCTCATAACACTTTGACTATTTTTTATTTTTTGTTGTTTACGCAATACGTATTAACATTGTAATTTACTTAATAAATACTCTGTAATTTTTTCAAAAAAAAAAAAAATACTCTGTAATTAAAATTGTGTGTTGATAAGTTAAAAAAATATTGTGTGTTGATAAGTTAAAAAAATCAAATAGATGCGGTCATTATACTCCTTAATAAAAATCATCAAATGTCATAAATTGTTATATATTTGATATAGGATAGAAAACATTAGATAAATTATTTTTTAAATTGTCAATAGTTTTCTATTTGTATTAGTTTTCCTTGTAATACAAGAAAACATTAGCTAGGTTATACAGATTTGGTAGTATCGTATATTTAATTATAACGCGGTTTTCATGGTTTCCTATTTGTATTTTAATAACATCCTCAATATGTAGTTAAAATCATCATTTAATTTCCACTCAAATTTGAAAGACAATCATAGTTGATACTGTATATATATGAAATCTAATCCTATGTGATTGTATATGAAATCTTTATTGCTATCCTCAATATATCCCCAACTTTAATTTTTATATAAAGCCTCTAATCCATAGCTCTAATAATTCATTACAAATTAAATTACTAAAGATTTTCTATACTCTCGTAAATTAAATTTAGTGCATTCTTGTTTATAATGGATTTGAGTATGGAAACTAAAAGGTATAAGTTAGTTGCTCCATATTCTTGGTATCGTAATAAACCACACGATGACTCGCCTTCTTCCTCTAAGAAACTCGACGTTAGGCTAGTCTTCGACGTCTACGAAAGCTTGATATATTATCATACAAACGGTCGACGATTGGTGAGTGTACGTAATATACCAAACAATACATGTTTTAGTTTTAACCCTTTTTGCCCTTCATGTCGAAAAATTATTGCTAAATATCTTTTAGTATATAAGAATAATATGTTTATTGATGGGGTGAATAATGAGTTGAAACTAAAAGAATGTTTTCCGTGAGTCGTTTCCTTCATTGCTCATTAATATTTATACAAATATCCACAGTATAATCTAGGCATAATCCTAGGCAAATATCAAGGAAACTAACTAAAACATATCCTATAAACTAGGAAACAATATATACGTTGACTAAGCTAATAATTTACATAATTATCTTAACACACCCCCGTAGTCAAAGCGGGAGGGCAACGGACGCTGAGACTATCCCGAAAATCTTCAAATAATATACGCGGAAGCCCCTTAGTAAAAATGTCCGCAATTTGATGACGAGTAGGAACATGAAGAACTCGAACATCACCACGCGCAACCTTCTCCCTAACAAACAGTATATCCATTTCAATGTGTTTAGTTCGTTGATGATGCACTGGATTACCCGAGAGATATATTGCGCTTA